CGTCCCTGTGAGTGTTAGGCTGTGTGTGTCGTCTCACCATTTCAAGTCTCGACATTCCTCTGTTAGTGTTACCTCAAGTCTCATATTCGTTTAATTTTTATAATATTATTAGTAAGTTTGGTATCCTGCAGCGATATGACATTGTCATAAAGTTTTAAATGAAGTATTAAATACTACTATATGAGTATATGAACAATTTCTGTCTCCACTAGTCACCCCTCCCCCCCCCCACCCTCTTTCTGCTTTTCATCAAAGTAAAATTGGGGAGGTGGAAGGATGCGCTCAGCCTGAGCTCACAAGTTCCGGCACCTACATGAACAACTTTGTACATTTTCCCCCGATTGCCCTGGTCTTTCTGATTCCAACTGTGCCTTGTTGTTTCTGCTTGGGAAACAATTATGTTTCCCTGATAACAGATAACACAGGAAGCACTGACGTACCGTTATTTTCAGTCAAGGCAAACCCAGTTCGGGTTCAAACTTTTGGTGCTTTAAACTGTAACTTTAGATACAGAAACAGTTGAAGTAATTACTGGTTGGTATTTAAATAGTTAATGTTGTAATGTGTTGTCACTTCACCATAACTTTAAATCGTGAGAAATTAGCAACTGAAAGAGTTGTAACCAATTATCATTTTATCCACACACAAACATAGTGAATAGTTACTGTTATTCTGAACTAGCATTGCCATTACTGCAGATACTAGTTGTACTGTCATTAGATTCTTCTTTTCATACATTCCCAAACAACTTTCAGTCTCTATTTTGAGTGACAGCAGCCTGTGCTGTGCTAATTTAGTAAAAGGTATGTTATTTTTTGTGTATCTTTACTGCCTGTTTCACTTCTGCTCTTTTTAGTGTGATGTTGACAGGAGGGTGTTGAGTGAATTTGAGACCTCTTTTTAGTGCAACCCCCATGAATTATTCTGCTTAGGACTTTTAGTTTTGTCTCCAAAAAATGTCATCACTTTACAGAGGATTTGAACCTGGATCTCATGAATGAGTGTCAAGCATTCTAATTGCTTGTCCAACCAATTTGTTTTGAAGTAACATGAAAAAGTCTGTGCAGCTAATGAAAATAGGATCGACCATGATCCCTGTGTGATCAGGCTTTGTGAGGGCTACAAACTGTATCATGTAAAAGTGCAAGGCAGTCACAGTAATTCGCCATTCACCATGTTAATAATAAACAGTTGGCATTCATGCTTTGAGAGCTCATGAACATGACTGAAATAAAGTTGCTTCATTTCTGTCAGAAAGAAACTAAGTTCGTCTAACAAGTGTTCAAATCAAATGAAAAGGACCAATTCAAAGAAGATTCTGCAACTAACAACATAGCTAGGCATGGATAAAGTAGTGTCTTGTCATTTTTAGCCATCTAAAAGGTGCACACTAAGTTGTATTAGAGGCCAGGCAGAACACATACTCTACAACTGACTCAAATGTGACACTTTAAGACCAACCATTTGACCTAGAAAGTATCAGAAACTAAATCTCACTGACTGTTGAGTGAACTAAATAAAAAGGAAAAGACAGCAATGCATAGAGACAGTGTATTTAGAACAACAGAAGACAAATCCCTTAGCTATGGACACTAGATAACAGACAAGTTTGTGAAATTGAGGTGTCAACATTCTTCGATATTTTCATAATCATGTATAGATCTAATGCAGATATAGTATACATTTATAATAATAGTCTTCACATTAGGATTTCAGGTTATTTTAGACCTCCAGTAACTGCAGATAATCATTTTACAGCAAATTGCTGAGCAAAATTAGGAATATGGAAGAATGTACATAATGTTTTTGTGGGTTTTTTTAAAGAGGCGTTTGATAGTGTACATCGAAACAGTTTATGGAATGCTGTGAAAGACATAGGCGCTTATGCATCTCCACAGATCTCAGTCCATTGTCCTCTGGATCAATTCCACCGATGATAATCCTTCGTGCCACCGTTGCAATCCATCCATCATCATCTCTCTCGGTCTGCTACCATTGATCTTCCCAGTCATCACAATATTCTCTAAACATCCCCATTCATTACATGATAAAAGAACAGTGCTTGTCTTTTCCTTATAGCTGTATAAATTGATCAGCTTTCATTAGCTTCTTTCAAGCATTCCTCTTTAGTTGCTCTGGCTGTCCAAGGTATTCTTAACATTCATATGAGGAACCACATCTCTGTCGCCTCCAGATTCTTTATGATTTGTGCATTTAAATTCCATGATTCACTACCATACAGCAATATAGGTTCTACATAACATTTTAGTACTCTCTTTCGGATTTTCAAAGAGAGGGAACCTTGAGTACAAGTTCTTCATTCTGTTAAATGCAGCTTCAGCCTGGCCTATTCTGCTCTTAACTTAAAATAACATGAAGTCAGACCCTTTTCAAATAACATCTGGTTTAAAGCAAGGTGATGCTCTGTCCCCATTTTTTTTTCAATTTAGCCCTAGGGAAAATTAAAAGGACATTAAAAGAAGAGTGTACTATAGGAGAAACTACAAGAATACTTGTTTATGCAGATGACATTGACATCTTTAAAGAAAGTGAATTAGAGATGATGCAAACACTGACTCTTAAAAGAAACAGCTCACAAAATGTACTAGTTATCAGTCAAGATAAGAAAGAATATTTGGTAATAACAAGACAGGCAAAGGATTTAAACTCTGGCCACTTACAGGTCGATAATATGAAAATCAAACGAACGGAAACATAAAAGTACAATCTAGAAATAAAGTATACTATGCCCTTTAACATCTGCTAAAATCAAAGTCTCTTTCTCGCAACACCTAGATCAAAATATATAAAAATCTTGATAAGACCAGTTGTTTTATATGGTCTGAAACTTGTAGCACAACTAGAAGAGATGAAATTTTATTACAAATTTTTGAAACCAGTCTTACGAGGAATCTTTGGACCCACCAAAGATGCAAACAGCAGGGAATGGAGAGTGAGAAGCAACAAGAAAATTCATAATGTGTTTAAATCACCATTAATCACTGGCGTCATAGATAATAGGATAATAGAAATAGACTGTAATGGCTGGGGAAAACGGTATATGCAAGGGTGCTGAATGGTTGTAGACCATGAGACAGACCAAGAAAACAATGGAGAGATAATATCCAGACAGACTACAAACACTTGGTGTTACCAACTAGAAAGCCAGCCAGAGAGACGAATAGAGGTGGGGGATATCTGCAGCAATAAACCTCAAGGACTCAGAATGCTGAAGAAGAAAAAGTAACTGCCCGGCTTCTATCATCAGTACCGCATAAAATACTGTCCTAATAGATTTAATAAATATTTTGAAAAGAAACAGCTGGTAAAGTTATGAAATATAGTAAATAGGTTTAATAAATAAGTTCTAAACTGCCAGCCAGAATGTTGGGGCATGAAATAAACAGAGCTCATAAATGTCTTGTTAAGTGACAGCCAATAATTTCAGCAGGTAAATAGGTTTCACAAATAAGTCCTGTCATGTGTCATGTGTTAAATTACAGGTTTTGGAAATTAGCACAGCTAGTGTAGACATATAGGAGACCCGGGTTTGACACCCGGTAAGGAAATGGATTGTTTCTGTCGGGGGCAAAATTAAACATCCTAACCTGTACCGTCCGTGGTGACAGCACTAGCCATGCAGCCCTAAATCCTCAGGCTAAGTACCCTCTGTCTACACCGCCTTTACTGGGCTACATACAGACAGTACAGTTTAGTGTAGATATAAACTTTTCTTTTAGTGCGGTACATATAGCATTTCTATAAGTAGCTACATGTCACAGAAGTATATTATCTGATGGACTTGCCTTTTAAGATGTTGGTAAGAAGTCATAGTTCATTTTCCACACTTTGTGAGATTTAAGTATATGTGCTGGCTCCATACTGTTTACAGGCAAATTGTCATTTTATACTTTGATGTCTGTATTATGCTGGCTACTTTTACCTCCTAGAAATTTTTGTTGGGGGCTAAAATCCCGGCTATGGTGGGGACTTCAACACATAATACTGGGCAAGCGGAAGTAAGTTTATTGCATTCTGTTGTTTATCTCTAAAACTATCACAGGAGCATGTATCTTTTGCTGGTGTTTTGGGAAAGACAGAAAGTGCTGAGGATGTGGACACTTGTCCTAAAGAAGTCCCCATGCAGTATATAGGCTAAGATGTAGATTTCACCTGCTAGAATTCGACAGAACTCTGGTCATAGATGTACTCAAAAGGTGATTTTACCAGACTTCAGTTAATTTGAATATTCTGTGATCAAAAGTAAAGGTCCTGTATCCACATCTAGATGGTGTATTGAGCATATTTTGCTTCTTATAGTTTTTTAACTCCTGTTGGCATTAGAGGAGTGATATTATCAATATCGTACTGGCCAGCTTTGCTTCCTAGAACTGTTCTTGGTTTGAACTTTTACGCTGAGCCTGCCTGGGAGCTTAAAGTCAGTTTTAGAAATCTGCCTCAGTAAAGATGTCAACCTTTGTCCGCATGGCCACATCCTAGCTAACACAGATTCTTTTTTTTTCTTTCTATCGTAGTTTTTTAAAACCTCGGTAAGGTATTAAACACATGATGCTAGATTGACATATTTTGTAGACCAGTTGGCGCTTTGTGGGTGATGTCTTCACGGTGACTGCCTTTACTTCCTAAGATATTACTGGTAGCAATCATAGGTTGAGTTGGCATGAGAACTACGGTCAGTTTTGACAGTCATGTGCTGCTACCTGGATTTGAACCGAAGACCTTTGTGTCAGCAGGCAAAGGACTAGCAACTGTGCTACTGCAACACCCACCATAGTTATGTGTCTCTTCTTTTGCTTTTTGATTTCTAAGATGGTTACAGAATTTCTTTATCTTTTATTCTAACAGATGAATGGTGTCATGCTGTCAGGTTCAAGCTAAAATGTTTCATAATGTCATTAAACTGAAACGGCAAGAATCCATCTCCAGTGTCAGCAGATGAATACACAGCTGATGTAAACGATGCATATCAGATAATATCAATGAAGGTGATCGTGTGTTTTGATAATGTGCGTGTCACAGTGCCATGCGGGGATGGAACTATACCTGTCAGAGAGTTGATAAATAAAGCTGTTCACCGCTATACCAGGGCAGTTGGCAAGGTAAGGACATTCATTTCACAGACTCAGTTGGTTAAATTATTCACTGTTCATTACAAAAGCCCAATGACTTTTTCCATTGCAGTGGTGGCCAGAAGTTTAAGACACCCCCCCCCCCCCCCCCAAAGTAAATAGTTGATGTTTCTACATTGTTATGGAGTATTGCATCATTTTAAGACAGAATAGGGACTGCATTGATTGCCTGTAGTGGGGCCTAAAATAGTGTATGCAAAACTCAGTGAAAATAATCAGTTATTCCTGAGGTGGTCTTAATCTTTTGGCCACCAGTGTATTTGTTTGTGTGAATGAGAGAGAGAGAGAAGAGGGGGTGAGGGAGAAAGTGTAAAAAAGGTAAACATTCGCTGGCAATGGTTAACTTTTGGTTGATTTCATTGTCACTTCCTGATTCTTCTGCTGTTTGCCTCTCAGTTGAGCATAGGGTGTCATCCAGCACATGCCAAATTGTCCTGTCCTTTGCTACATGTACAGCTCACCCTATGTCTTTTCCCCTCATTCTCAAATTCTCTTGGCTGTGTTGAAAATTTAACTGACTTGATTCCTTTAAGCCTGCGAATAGAGTCTCACTGAATAGGCCAATAGTTTCCTAAACGTGGGAATCATCTTCCGTGTGTGGGTTAGAGATTACTGAGAAGTTAGGAGTTATCTCAGGCTCTAAGACTGCTATATTTGAACCCTAGCCTAAAATTGAAAATTGTTACACCCATTGGTTTGTAATGATATGGAGCATCCCCTGTAATATCTTCATTAGTGAGATAAATATTTGGCTTTCCCAAAGGATGAAAACCATGCGGTCCAAGATGCAAGTTGTGAATATTAAAAATCTCACAATGGTTAAAAATTGCAAAGAATATGCCACAAGTTTATTACCCTAGCAAAATTCAAAATGAGACTGTTACCTTAAATTGTTTTTGTATAAAGAAAGTAAACCTTATATAAATGCATGTTGAAATTGTGCAGTGGCGTGGCTATTGAGGTACATAGCTAGGTGTGGTTCATTTCTCTTAGAGGGAGAAAGATAATGAAAAAAATTGGTTAGCTTTTAGTTCACATCGACTTGTACTGTTTTGGGGTTCTAATGTTTAGTCAAAGTGTTTGCTTATTCTTAAGCTTTATCATTTGAGACCGTCATTACAAATACCACAAGTTACTGGAAAGGTTATATATTAAAATTTAACAATCGTGATAATTGTAAACATAAAGTGTAGGAAACTCTTATTTGCAAAGCATGTAACTAAGTAACTTGAGGATTTGCTTTCATGGCATACTGGGTACATAGTGCTTGCCCCAGATTTTCAGAACTGCCAGCGTCACTAGCAGATGTAGCCAGTTTGTCAGCAGCCCAAGATAAGTCCTAGTACCTATTTTAATTTTAGACTGGGTTGACCTAAGAGCCCATTTCAGGTTTTTAAAAATCCAAGAAGATTTGAAGACATGCGAGCCAGGCTGACACGAGACCTTTGTATTACTGTAGCTTCTAGAGCATGTTTCTTCAACTTCCGCCCTTTATTCTTCAGTGGAACATAGACTGTCAACAAACTCTCACCAAATCATCACCTATTCTTTGTTGTTGCATGCAACTCACCTCATGTCCTCCCTGTCTTTTTAAAATCACTGTCTAGCTCCCTTTTCCATGATGGTCTGCCTTTATTTCTTTGCCTCTGTGGGTTCCATTGCAAAGACATTCTAGTTATATTGTTAAGGTTTTCTTGTCATGTGTTCTGTTCAGTGCAAGTGTCTCTTCCTCACCTCTTGATTCACTGGAATTTGTTTAGTTATCTCCTAAAGCTCTACTGTAGTGATTCTATAGAAGTATGTAACTGTTTGTGCTAATGCTGCTGCTTTAATGGTTGTAAGTTTTTGTGTGTGTGTGGATGAAAAACCGCTGATAAAATGCGCACATTCATAATTGGTGTGCTATGAGAGGAGGCTACATCTATGCATTCTGTCATTTTGCTGAGCTAGAGACAGAGCACCTGTCCTTGTTTCCCACAAATAATACATTGATTCTAGTAATCGGTCAGTCAAACTCAAATGAGTGTTGTTAATTTGATTACTAAAGATAAATATTACAATTTACAGATTTTTATATGGTTTAAATGTGTATATACATCTCATTAGAACATGGTGGGTTTCCATGTCTGTAATTTGCCTTGAACTGTGAAGGTCTGGGTTCATTTCACAGACCGACTTTCGATTCACTGCTGCAATTTTGACAGTGATCCCTGGGGATCGTCCCTGGGGTTACAGAGTTTGCTTTTTGTATGATCCCCTTGACGGATGACTAGCCGCTCTACTAGACAGGCCAAACCGTATAGAGTAAAAACAGATGCAGTGATGATCCTTTTGACATAAAATCTTTTCAACTCCATTAGAAACAAATGGACAAACTAACCACTGGAACTTTGTGAGATTTTTTGTCTGGCTAAAAATCACGTTGTGATATTACCTTGAAGCATTAAGTAATTTCACAGCCTTCATGTGTGGCTCACGGGGCCCATTAGGGAAAGAAAAGGATATACCCGTTGCCAACCTAACAAGCATGTGGTAAGAGTAGACTAATTAGTGGTTTCCTTCGAATTTGGAGTGCAACTGTCTGAGAGGTAAGGAAGCAACAGTCTGCTTACAAATAAGCTAAATCTGTAAAACAGATGTGCACACAAAATTCAAGTTATGGAGCAAGAGTGAAAAGTACACAAGTAGACAGACAACCAACATTTTCCACCAGAGTTTGCAGCTGGTGAATTCGAGGAAGAAGAAGATTTCACAGCCATATTTCTGCTTCTTCTTAAAAGGGAGGTTAGTCCTTTGTATTGTGGCTTACAGACAGGCTGTGATATGCATCATTTTGTCTAAAGCAGTCATTTCACAGACCCTTAGTTAACATGTTTGTTGAGGGGCTGTGAGTCCGTTCTTTACAACCATACTGTATTGCTGCTATGGGTTTATCTTTTCATGCTGTATAAATGACATTACCTCTTTTGCCTTATAAACCTTTTTGAGTTCATACTTATTATGTTCACACAGTTGTGTATGATAAATGACCATACATTTTTCTAGTTGACACAATATGTCCATTTCACAAGCCTGCAATAAAAGCCTCATGGTCACTTATTCATTAGAGATCATTCATACACAAAAAAAAGAAGAGTTTATTGATTTGATTGTTCAAGTGTAGCAAGACTTATAGATGTTTATGATCATCATGTGCCGTACTGACAGCACAGGGGATCATGTTTCTTCATAAAGATCTTTCCGACCAGTGATCATTTTCCATGCCAACCTGTTCCACATTTTCTGTGTTTACCACTCTCTGCCCCTTATACCTTTGATCATCTCTCTGGTTGTTTTACAACCTTCTCTTAACCTTCTTGTGTAAACTCCACCACAAAGCCCACACAGCTTGTTTTTCTGGTTGTTAGGAGGAGTTCAATGTCCAGGAATGTTTAGGCCTCGTCATCTTTACTGGGTTGGGTAAGCTAGCCTAAATATGTTTACTGCTTATAGTATCGTACCATTGTGTTGATATTAAATGTGTTATATCCTGACATCTTGCATGGTGAGCTGTTTCTTCTCACTGTGTCATCTTTTCTTCTCTGCCATTAAGCCTCTGTTGCAGCTTCTAAAGCCACACTATCCTGCCATAAACACCTTGCTGCTCTGCTATTAAGAACCCAAAGTATTTCAGGTTCCTCACCGGTGCTACCTCAGGCTTGAATTAGAAGTAAAACAGAGCACTTATGGGTTACTACCCTTGTGCCAAAATGGTGATCTTTTGTTTATAAAAAAAAATAATAACAATAAACAGAAGACTGGAGAAACATCACTGGAACATTACTAATGCTTGCCTTTTTCTCCACTGTGGAGTGTTTTTATGTGGTAGCCAGACTTTTGAAATTTCTCTTCTCGCTTTAACTCACTATGCCACAGTCTGCCACTGTCGCTGCATGCCATCCATTGTTGAGAGGATGGCTAATTGGGCTGGCACAAGCTAGAAAAGGTGGTTGATTTGTTGTTATTCACATACTGAACCATATAAAAATCAATTTTAAGGTGCTCTTGCCCTTTGAACATAGTCTACCACATGCAAGAGTATTTTGGCAATTCTTGGGCATAACCAGTTGTATTGCTGTTGCCTTCTTATTCTTAACATCGACAGGGTGTTCTAGGAGCTCAGGCAGCATCATCACATGTCTGAATTTCCTTGGTAACAGATTTGAAGAGTAGCAGATGCTTTGCTTTCCTGATTGCAGGCCTTTACTAGCTTTCATTAGATATTATGTCTGTGGGTGTTACCAGCATATCTGTAGCCATCTTTGTAATACATAATTCAAAAATTATAGGTCAGGTTTGCTGTTGGCGAGCCAAACTTCAAGGCACTGTAACTGAGACTGTTCTACAAATGACAGACATACGAAATCATGAGGGCGGTTACTTCTGCGCACCTAAGACCGCAACAAGACTGACTGTGCATGCCTGTTGCATTTGTTGGGCTCTCTAATGACACGCTATGTAAATTTTCTTTGGGAAATTCCAGGCTGGTACTAAAACGTGGCATGTTAAAGTCGTGTGATCTGAAAAACAATAGCTTAGAATGTGTTAGACGGAGCTTAGCTGTACATGCGCGTTTTACATTGTTTCACATTGGAGATAATACAGTCTTATTATGTGACGTAGACCGCTTGAGTAAGTGTGTGTATAACTAACTGTATAATTGTTGACTGGGAGCCACCGTGGTGTAACGGCTAGACGCTCGCCTGTGTCTGTGGGTTCGAGTCCTGACGGAATGTCCCGTGTTTTGTGACATGGATTTTTAACTTAACTAAACTTAACTCAGCCCTACTCAGCTTAATCCCCTATGCATAGACTGTTATCCGAGTTCTTCTTCTTCCTCTTAGCGTTCACTGGCTGTAAGTAAACTCTGATGGAAGAAAGTTCATCTCTGGACTGTGGTCTCGATCCAGAACTTGAGTTTTGCGTGCACAACCGTTGTACAGATGTGGTTTATTGGTATGCTAGTTCCTTTCTTCTCAGGCAGGTGCAATCCAGCGTTGTAGAAAACACCCCTTATTAGTCGCTTCCTACGACATGTTTGCTTGAGGGAAGGGGAAAAAAGGGGGTGGGGGCAGTGCGTCTGTTCTTTGTTCTCCAAAAATGTAACTCCGGAACCCAAACAAAGAGTTCGTGTTCTGTCCCTTGAAATGACGTCACCCCCCCCCCCCCCCCCCCCCCCCCACTAGAGCCCTGGTGTCGACCCAACCTAATACAAATGAGTGCATGATAATTTCCAGAATTGTCTTCGAAGGAAAAGCGACGAGGAAGAGAACTGACCACCCAACATCATATGTTGGCATGACCTAGAATTTGCGAGGGCTTAACACTTCACTAAACTTTTGAGTGTCGGTTTTAACTAGTACTGTAGTTTCTCTTCTGCGTTTGCTCTTAAAATGACGGCTGTTATTGTGTGTTGTAGTTTATCTGCCCCTGTCGACCGTACACATCCGATTTCATTTAATTTCTATTTGGTCGCCGTTTACAACATGCTAATTAAGAGGCAATAGGTCTGTTACTCCCCCCTCCCTCAAATTTGGGAGCCTTGGGTGGTGTGGGGTGGGGTTCTGTGAGCCTTGGGTGGGGTGGTGGCGGGGTTCTGTGAGCCTTGGGCGGGGTGGGGGTGGGGTTCTGTGAGCCTTGTGTCTCTTCCGGGCTGCTACTTTAAAAGTCTGACACCCTGAGATCAGAAGATGACAAACCAGGAGATTCTAAGACTGAAAATCCCAGTGCCTGTTGCAGACCAACAAGGCTAACCCGATTATCCCGTTCAAACATACAGCCCTGTGTGTGTTGGGGTTCATACTTATTGGAGCCCTGGAACTCAACCGGACGGAAATTTTTCCTTATTTTAAGCCCCGCTCTAGCTTTAGTCGGGGGCCCTAATAAAACCTAACGGTTGAACGGGGTTTCTGAGACTTCTGCCCGGGTGATCCTCATCTAAATGGTGGCACTTTGTGTCACCGGGTGTTGATCGCTTGTTGTACGGTCCTGGTGGAGTTGAAGGACAAACAAATTCAACCGAGGAAAACTAGTCTTTGGGTAAATGTGTTCACTCGAATGTATATGATATGCATTTAATTTAGACCTCACACCGGCGGCGTTAGCACCGGACATGTTCACTGTTTATTAGTCTTCAGCTGAATTAGTCTTTTCTGAACCAGAATGTTTCACGTTGATACAAATAATTGGACCCAGTGCCGCCATAGATAGCACCTCGCCGTTCTATCGTCTTTTCTCAACGATTTCCTTTATCTTAACGAGCCGGCGAGCTTTTCCCCCGTTAGTTAAGTGGTTAAGATAATGAAGTACCTTCGCTGCGTAATTTTCCACCCTGCAATGCCATAGGGGCTTGATACCGTGCTGTTGCGGATCACCCTATTTTTTAGCCTTCCCCACACACTCTCTTCCCCCTTCTTTTTCTCTATCCCGTCTGCTCGTTGAACTTCTGCTTCACAGAAAATAATCTACCGAGCAGAAACTAAAGTTGTTTAGATATGCTCGAAACATAGTATATGCCCCTAAATTTGTTTGAAAGTGGTGATAGTGGGAGAATACAAGTCAAAACATAGAATATGCCCCTAAATTTATTTTAAAGTCAGATAGGAGAGAATACAAGCCAAACGAGGTGGCGGTGAAGTGACTTGTTTTTAAAGTCCGTGACGTATTTATATTCATGTGACTGGTGTACAATGGAAGACTATTTGTTTGGCTAGAAGAGAGATGTGAATATTCCTTACATCCTTTTAAGGACGTAATTTTTTGTTATTTGAAGCCCCACTCTGGCTTTTGCCAGAGGCCGCAATATAGGCAGGCCATAAATATGGCCAATTGTCTGAACGCGGTTTCTGGGACCTCTCCACGGTGATCCTCATCCACATGGTGGCACTTTGTGTCATCGGGTGTTTATCGCTTGTGTGATGTCCTAGTGGGGTAGAAAGTCAAGTCAAGTCAGATGTGAATGGCAGTGGTCGACTTTTCTACTTCTTCTTCTTCTTCTTCTTACTCTTCTTCTTCCCACCCTTTTATTTTTTTTAAATAGAAAATGGGAAGGGGGGGGGGGGGGATTGGAGTCTCTTTCCCCTAAATTATGGGTGACGGAGCTCAGACCTTACCCCCAATTTTTTTTGCGTGGGAACTGAAAGCGCCTGCACCTCTAGTCCCACTGCCTAAACAAGGAAATACACTTGTAGGTTCTTGTAGTTAAATATTCTTATATACATTTATACACTTGCGCATATTATTGAGTGTTTAAGTGTAGAATTGTTAGTCTCTGTTTACTGTTTAGTCGTATGCATGTTGTTTGTTTTCGTCATGGCCCGATACTGCTGTAGTAAACACAATAATGCAGACATGTCATGAGATCATGTCGGCTCTGTGGCTAAGTCGATGCGAACGCTTCGTAATGCCGGGGTGCCGGGTTCGATCCCAGCTGCGGGCAATGCGCCTTTCGTTGGTTTCGACAGTGGTATCAGGGAGCCGACCGTCCAGTGAATTGGCAAACTACTGAACGTACATTTGCCAAGAGAAACCACACAACAGCCAGGGGCTGCTGGGGTTGGTTCTGCAACGTCCTGTAAAGGATACGCAACTAAGCTAAACATGAGATCGTTGGGTGTCGCGTACGCGCTCACCCAGATCCTTCTGCCGCCGATTGTCAGACTGGAATAATGCTTTGGTTTTATCGCCAGTGATCCTCACATACTTGTTTCTAAATGTTTGAGCTACACGCCCTTCTGTATTAAAAATAGTCGGCCGTGGAGCTACTCTAGTGAGCAATTGTACACACCCTAATCCAAGGTTACCCCCATTTATAAATGATGTAACTCCAGTCGCGGGTTGTTGAGGTGTCATGATAAAAGCATCATCACTCGAGAGTCCCCGGGTGTTCTGTGTACTCAACAAGGCATATCTTCTTCTTTCTTCTTAGTTCACCGACTGTAAGCGCCGGGGAAAAGTCATGGTTTTTTTTTCCATTTGGACTTTGGCTATGTGCCAAAGTGAGTTGGTGGGAAAAAATCAAAGTAAAGGACCATTTTCAAGCCCTTAACGCTTCGGGCATATGGTGTCTGCTAGACATGTATTTTTCTAGACTGACACTTTATTGAAGATGTGTTCAGAATCACACCGGCGGCCTTTGTTTCCCAGGACATTACCTGGTACCCAATATAGGCTGGTCAGTGTTGAAGAAATCTGCCTTGATGTGTGTTTGAGACTAATTAATGGTTTGTTGAAATCGGATGTGTTAGGCTGAAATGCGCAATTATTTCATCATGGTTGTAAACCATAATACATACAACGTTGAGCTAAAACAGAAGAAGAAAAAAGAACACACATATGCTTACATTTAGTGGGATCTACTTTTTTTTTAAACACACACACACACACAACCTTTTTTCCGTAATACACATGGTCCACGCACGACACACACCGGCTAGGAACCACGCACACACATTTATTTAGCAGGAAATTCAAAGGGGGCCGTACATATCATACTTGCGTTTTTTAAACGCATTAGTGAACCATTGGGCTTCCTCCGGCAAACAAGAAAGAAGCAGGCAATGTGCGCCGCCGAGGGATACCCAGCCACGGTATTGGGGTCTTGGGATAATCCTGGGAAATAATTTTAAGCAGGAGAATACAATTGGCCTTGGCACAGATTGAACTGTTTTGGCTTGTAACGTAATACGTGCTAGAGGTTATAGTAGCGTTACCGTAAATGCTAATTGCCTCACATACCAGGTCACTTCTTTTCATTGGGAAATAAACATTGGCCTTCTTTGTCGTCGTTCTCTCGTGAGGCTGATGGCTCAAGTAGACCCGCCCCTGTAGTGTTAAGAAGTGGAGGAGCAAGGGTTTAGTTTTATAATGACATGAAGCTTATATTGAGCATATTGCTTGTCTCCCACTTTAAATATATCGCTTGTTCCTTTTATTATGAAGGATTCCTGGTCTGTGGCTTTTTGGACATATTGACTGATCTCCTCCCCTTCCTTCTTTTTTTTAAAGAAACTTCATTCACTAAGCGGTACAGTAAATTTATCTTTCCCTGCTTCAGCTCTAGGAACATTTTCTGCGACTCATTGTACCGTAAAGGACCCTTCTCAACGCCTTTAGGTGTAATAGACACTTAGGGCTAGACCCATATTTTATTGACCAGTCAGCACTAGTTGGGTGGTGATATGGTCAGCATCACGCTGGCCACCTTAACTTTCCAGGACTTTACCTGGTGCCCATTTAAGGCTAGGTCGACCTGGAAGCCAAGGTCATTTTGGAAAAAAGCTAAGCTCTGTTCAGATTTGAACCCACGACCTTTGGATCTGCAAGCGAGCATCTAGCCACTACACCAGGGCAGCTCTGAAAACCTTACTGTGCCAGATAGGCCTATATTGGTATGGATTTCTTTCTGCAGGCATTTTTCTTTACTTGGTGTTCATTATATATATATATATATATATATATATATATATATATATATATATATATATATATATATATATAGTTATATATATATATATATATATATATATATGAACATAAAATGCTTTTTATTTAAAATACAATTGTAGCATGAAAGATTAGTGTTTGGAAGGGCCGAATGTGTGAAGAGTCTGCATGCTCAGTTTGTGACCGAAAAATGGTGCTTTTATTTGGTTGTTGTTGGTTCCCCTCCCCCACCCCCAATCCCCCTCTCTTTCAGTGTAGCTACATAATCTGATTTTATTTGAACTAATTGTTGTTTTATGTTTTTGGTAATATAAACTTATCTTTGATGTGTTAGGGCTCCAACCACTGGGTGGAAGTGACCAGCCTCAAAACCATTAGTGGTGGAGGAATTCTTGACCCAGATGATCAGCTGGTTGATGTTGTTGATGACAAAGAACAGGTAACGTAAACATACCTACCTGTTTTATACTGTTTGTGGTTGTAATATCACCTTTCCATGTGTTAAATAAATCATAATTATTGAAAATAAGAACATTAGTCTGGAGCAAACACTGACTATCTTAACTCCTGGGTTCTGTTTTTTATCTTATATTTTTTAGGAATTTGATCGTGGTAGTCTGGTATTATTTGTTGCCTATCTGTTTTTCTGTTCACATGCATCTTTCTGCCTTTCCTTGCTTCTGTTGTCCACTGTTTCTTTCTTTTTTTTTTTTTTAAATTCTACATTAACTGTTGATAAACTTGATAAATGTTATAAATAACAGCTGCAGCAGTTAAAACATTCCTATTGTTTTCTTTTCATGCTATGATATTCTTTCACATCCTTCTAACAAAATGACATTTACACTGGCTCAACCTTCCCTAATCATTATTCCTTATCTAATATTTGCGTCTGTATAACGTATTCTTCTTCTTCTGCCTTTCTATCCCCCAATGGAGCATAGGCCCTCAACCAACTCACGCCAAGTCGTTCTATCCTTCGCCATTGCATGGAGCTCTCCCCATGTCCTCCCAATCTTTCTAACCTCGTTCTCCAGCTCTCTTCTCCATGTGTTTTTTGGCCTTCCTTTATTCCTATGCCCCTGTGGGTTCCAATGCAAAGACATTCTAGTTATGCTGTTCTCCTGTTTTTTCAGTGTGTGCCCTATCCAACGCCAGCGTCTTTTCCTCACTTCCTGATCCACTGGAGCCTGTTTAGTTCTCTCCCAAAGTTCTACATTAGTTATTCTATCATACCATTTTATTCCCTCTATTCTGCGCAGGCACCAGTTAATGAATGTCTGTAATTTATTAGTAATTGCCTTGGTTGTATAAAGTATTACACTAAGCATAATCTTTCAGTGAACAGATTTTTGTATTTTCTTGACATAAGTTATTCTAATAAAGGATTCTTTAGATATGATAATTGTAGTACAAGAGTCTTTAAATATTTGTAAATTAGTTTTTATTTTATTTTTAAATAGTTCTCTTGTTTGTCTTCCTTAATTATGTCTTCTGTCAGTCAAAGACATTCTCAGATGTCACTGATCAGCTACCGCCTGCCTCCCTTTTATGTGGAAGGGGATAATCAAGAAAGGAATGAGAATAAAGGAAAAAATTATTACAGAAAGGATGAGAGCTGAGCATCTGTGAAGAGGCAGCAGAAAGGATGAGAGCTGAGCGTTTGCGAAGTCGCAGCAGAAAGGATGAGAGCTGAGTGTCTGAGAAGACGCAGCAGAAAGATTCAGAGCTAAGCATCTGAGAACAAGCAGCAGAAAGGTTGAGAATTGAGCATCTGAGAAAAAGCAGCAGAAAATACACTAAATACAGGTGATGGCAACAACAGTCCTACGATTCCATGCTCTAACCATGGCAGACTTTTCTTAACACGGGTGGATCTTACTAGTCACACTCTTGACATCACCATATGCTGTGATTCCCATGCCTCCCCGTTGGAGAGACAGAGAGGTGCCAACAATGTGTGAATGAACCTGTGTGTGTTGGAATGTATCACAGAATGTTTATTGGGGATGAGCTAAACAATCTGATGTACCTATTGTTAAATACATAGCAAGCTGTATGGGGAAAAACATTGAACTGATTGATCCATGATTCTGATGATAGTGTGAGCTGACATGGCACATAATGATGATGATGACAAAAATCAGTGCTTGGAAGTGACTATAAGACAAGCATGTATGCTGCGTTTGTGTCATTATGAAATTTAATTTATTATTTTGGTTCTCCTCAATTCTTATTCTTCTCCTCCTCCTCTTCCTCTTTCTTCTTCTTCTTTGTCACCATCATCATGTTCTACAGTGGCCCTTAAAAAGTTGTCAGCTGAATCAATTTACAGCTAAATTGCAATATCTGTACCTTTCAGCCCGCCACATCTGATTTCAGCAAATCCGTTTAAGTCACCTTGTACCGACATGCTTCTTAGGGGGCAACAACTCTATTCTTTTCGGCCCAGTTGGGATTTGTTCTCCTCTAACAACCATGTCTGTAAGGATTTTAAGATTTTCAGCTTATTTGATTCTTCCATTAAAAAAACAGCATTCACTCATTTTTCAGCTCATTGCTGACTTTGAGGAGCATGATCGGCCTTCTGTCCAGCACAATGGAGGTGATGGTGCCAGTGCCAGTTCTACCGGGACCACAAGTCCAGATATGTTTCAGGCCTCGAATGGTGCAAATGTACCCCTACACGACCTCACAAATAAGCCAATTGGCATACATATTGACCTCGCAAATACATCAAGGGCACTGGGCTTAATACGGCCCTCTGAAAATAGTACAGGTAGCAACAATGTTGTTACAGATGTTGTGGTCACATCCAGGGATTTGACTTTAGGTAAGGGCATCATTTTTCATATTCAGTTTATGTATTTGACATTAGGTAAAAGTAAAGTAAAGTAAAGATCCCTTTACATGCCCTTAGGCGCATCGGGCAAATGGGAAGAGCACCCATATTTTTACAGACCAATCGGCACTCGGTGGGTAATGTGGTCAGCATTACGCCGGCCGTCTTTACTTTCCCAGGACAGCCCATCCTGGTACCCATTTGAGGCTGGGTCGACCTGCGACGTCCCATACCACGATAAAAATCCACGCAGCCCGCGCAGGTTTCGATCGTGGTACATTGGATTATGAGTCAGACTTGCAACGCCTTAGCCACGGACGTTGCTTGACATTAGGTAAGGTCATATATAATATTGGGTAATATCATCATTAGCCACTCTATGTATTTGACATAAGGTGAGTGATCATTAGTCGCTCTGTCTGACATTAGGTATGATCATATATAATTGTGAGTTAAATCATCATTACTCACTTTATTTGACATTAGGTAAGATCATCATTAGCCACTCTATGTATTTGGCGTTAGGGAAGATCATCGAACACTAGGTAATATCATGGGCCACTTTATGTATTTGGCATTAGGGAAGATCATCAGACACTAGGTAATATCACCATTAGCCACTTTATGGTTTTGCCATTAAGTAAGATCATCATTAGCCAGGTCGTGTATTTGATATTGGGTAAGATAGTTTATGATCATGTATAACATTTGCCAAGATCGCCACTCACTTTATTCTGTATTTGTTGTTTATGAATTCTCTGAAAGGCCAAGTCTCAACTTTTCTAAGCCTAATACATTGGCTTTTAGTTTCAACCTAAAGTGTGACACGTTGATGTTTTTGTCACCTGAGCTTTGAAAGGCTTGTAGACTTCTTACAACCCAGGGAAGTATACCATTTTTGTGGGGACTATGTGCGTAGCTGTGAAATGGTTTGCCCACTTAGAGAGAATGCCTTGTGACACCATACCATACAAAGCATACATGGAAAGAGAAGAAGGACGTAGAGCACGGGGTAGACCAAGAACAAGATGGAAGGATAACATCAGAGAAACTCTACAACAGCACGATGTGCCTATGGTCGAGGCAGCCAGAAGAGCTAGAAACAGAACCTTATATCTCCCTCGACACCCACAGCGGTAAAAGAGGAAGTGAAGAAGAAGATGTGCGTAGCTTCCTGTCCCACTGCATGCACCTTTCAGCTCAACACATCCAATTTCAGAAAATCCTTTTTTAGTTGGTTACCTTTTACAATATGCTTGTTAAAGGGGTTGTAGATACCCCCCCCCCCTTTCCACACACACACACACTCACAGGACCATGGAATCCACACAGGGACAACTTGCTTAAATCACAACATTGACCCAAAAACCATTATAATACATTGTGTTGATCTGTCCAGAAATCACAGTGAAGATCAAAATTGATTTTTTAATTTAAAGAAAAGACAAATAATGTCCACTGTCAAAACTGGCTGTCACCCAAAAATAACAGTAAATGATGAAGAAATAGAAAATGTCACAAACCATGATTATCTAGGCAGCATAATAAATAGCAGTGGAGAGTGTTTGACAGAAGTCAAAAGGAGGATGGCCATAACATACAAAGATTAAACAACATTAAAAGTCTTCGAATAAGCACTTGAAGCAGCCCTAAATCATCAGGCTCATGATCCCCTGTCTACACCGCCATAAAATATTGTACATATAGACTTTTTTTTTAAGAACAAGCACCAGCAATGAAGTCAAAGTTAAAATTGTGAGAGCATGCATTTTCCCTGTAGCAACATGTCGTCCAGCAAAAGAGTTGTCTTGTTGTCTTCTTTGTCTTTACGTTCACTGGCTATAAACTCTGGCGGAAGATTCTGGTTATCAACCTCATTCTGGACTTTGGTCTTGTTCCAGAACGTGAGGTTTCTGCGCACATCCTTTTTACAGATCTGGCTTATTTGTATGCAGATTATTGGTTCCTTATCTCTCAGGAAGATACATACCAACTGTGAAGGAAACCACTAATTAGTCAGCTCTTACAACATGCTTGTTAGGGTTTCAGTGGGTCTTTTCTTTTGTTTGTTTTTACCCCCACAGTGGGGTTTAGGAATCCACATTTGGATTGTGGAGTCTAAAAATGATAGAAAAAGCATAAAGTGTTACAGAATCAATTATGGTCAACAAAGAAAGGATGCTGCAGCAATTAGTCTTCATCAGCAGAATAAAGACAAGAAACAAAACACAACACTGAAATTACCTGCTCTAAAATAACTACAATATTTTATTCAATTTTTTTTCTTTTTTTTAAATAGACTTTGAATACCATAATGTAGTTATGTTAGAGTCAGTTAATTTTTGAGTTGTTTTGTTTCTTATCCTTGGTTTGCTGATGCAGGTTAATCGCCACAACATCCTTTGTTTGATTATTGTAACTGATTCTTGAAAGCTAACATATGCTTATTTTTTCCTCTTTTTTAGACTTCCATTGCTTTACCGCAGTTATCTCATCTTGATATGTGTCTTGTATAGTCATAATTTATCACTGTAAAGGGTGTGTTTGTTTAATTTGTAGGTAGTAACTTGCGAGTTCGTCGAGGAAGTGAACCAAACCTCAATCTGCTGTCAAGTAAATCACCTCCAGAGAAGGATGAGATCAGCTCTGGTGATCCAAGGCCATTTATTCCCAGAAGGGAGAGTGTCAGGGTATGCTGGTTTTATTCTTCTACACATTTATAGCAAGGCATTTCATTGGCAATACATTTCAAGCTTCACTTAATGTAATTACACTGCATAACATTTCAGCTCTGATACTTGCAAGAGAAACACACAAAAACTTTGGTTATAGCATTTTTTAACCATTGTAGCTGATTGCTATGAGGGCTTTTTAATTCTGTGTTATTGGTCAAAGGATGACAATGCTAGTTGTACGCAATGGCAAAAAAATTTATATTTGATAACTTTTGGGGTTTTGCAATTTGTTAATTATTGATGTAAAGTGGGGCATTATCTTTGCATTTCTTAGGAAAGTGATGAGCCACGGTCTGAATCATCAGATGATGACAAGAAGATAAAAGTTACTATGCATGGATCGCTGGACAGAAAGAAAGCTAGTCATAGCCGATTTACACGGGATGCACTCAGGACATCCCTCAGCAACCGGCCTGAGATGTATCATTGGCTGGAAGCTCAGGAAAATCTGGAACAGCTTCATAAAAAGATCAAAGTACAGGTGAGATTTATCACCTGTTGTTGTGTTAACTGTGTAATAGCAGTAATCTTTTCTTAGTAAATTTTGAAATATTTGTTAATATGTGTGTGAGATAGTTGCTAGTCCTGTTAAGGACATACATACACATTTTGGCATTATGAGTTACATGTTAGGTTAACTTTGTGACACTCTGAAAATGTTTGTAGGTACTCAGATTTTCCCCTTCAACATGTACATTAGCATCCTGTGATTAATAGTGCTGATCCTGTGTTGGTTGACAAGACTTTACGTCAGGTTTGTCTCTTATGCCTTGGTGTGCTGATCTCTACTTCCAGTTCTCGTATTCTTAACAGCAATTTGGATGCACTGCTTCAAAAACCTCCAATCATCCTATCTCTGTAAGGGCATTAACAATGTCAGTGTGATCCATGGGCTGGCCATCTGCAACTAAGGCAGAGCCAGCTAGTTTAACAGCACTTTCATTGCTAACAGAGCACCTGCATGCCCTGGGACACAGATAAAGTTAACTTCATGCACAGGTGAGTTTTGCAATAGACCACTGTCTGCGCACAGAACTTGCCTCAACCCGCCAGGTCATAGAGTCATTCAGCACACTTGGCATTAGTTATTATATTGCTGTGGTACTTCCATTAGAGTTTTTGTAGCCATGACTCTCCTGCCAGTCTAATGATTCAGTGTTAAAATGCCCATCTTAGAAGAATTTAACATAACTGCTTCCTTGGATGTGGGAGCCGCACTGGTTGAGCTACTTGCCTGCCAGGTCATATATTCAATCCTTATTTGAAGCAAAGACTTTTTTTTTTCAAAAGTTGACCTGGACTAAAATAGGCACCAGAGCAAAGCTGCAGGATATAAAGGCAGCTAGCATAATATTGACCATGTCATCTATTGAGTTTCATCTACAGGGTGTCCCTTAACATTCCATACAAAACATTTTTTTGTGTGTAATACTGGATTCAATGGCCTGGCTTCACCCAGGATAGGGACAGAAAGTTTTATTCTCATCCTGGTCTCCACCGCAGCCGTATATGTAGTAGAAACTCCACTGAGGAGCAAACACAACATAATCATTTTATCTACGAATTTCTCTTGGAGGCCGTTGTTTCTTAAACTCGTCAGTGTCCCATTTGAACAGTGCATGTCTCTCTGAATTTTCTGTAGCAAACCAGTTTTTACAGGGTGTGCAGACTGGCCCCTGAGCCGTGGCCCAAGATGGAGTTGTAAGAGCATCCTAGACCAGTTCTTCCCATAGTTAGCTTTACTGCCACTTTTGCACCCCACTGTCGCTGTGGGGTAGTGACTCGGTTAAAATTTGGCATGTTGGTAGTCCCCCTTAAATCTGACCGATAAAGCAACAACCTTCTCTAATGTCCTTATCTCACAGTCTACATTTCAAGAGAAATAACAACAAAAAATATATATATTTTAAAATGTAAGCTATGTAAAAGGGAAAAAAACATTCAGAGGAATATTACTCCTTTGAAAGTTTACTTTTACTGCTTGTCGCAATAAATAAAGAAATGCGCAATAACCTGGGCCACCAATGTGACTTAAATTAAACATTGTAGTCTTAATGGCAAAAGAAAATTTTACCTGTGTAATTGTCTTTGGAAAGAGTTAACACCTTATTTATAATGAACACACAAAATACAGAAAGGGTTTGTGATTTTATAGTATACATGCTCTGCATAGATACTGTTATTTTGAAAACACACGTTTGTATTTGTTCACTGCTAAAGAACACATATAAGCACAACTGAAATTGTACTAATAATGGCGTTGGCAGTATGTTAATTTTTCGTGTGTATGAAAACTTATAGGACACCCTTATAATATGGGGTTAGCACCATATACCTAAAATGCCCTATGTCATAGGAAGTGTTCATTTGCTTAGCTTTAGTTTTTAACACAGCCTCATGGGCCTCAAGCACCTAGTAGATCTGACATTGGACTTTATCATTTTATACAGTGACATATTATCGGTCTTAGCATAATGAGATGTGGCAATTTGTTGTCCTTGCTGCAATTCATTCTCAGATAAATTCTGAAAATTGTTATATGTCCCTTTTATGAGACTGGATCAACTCCAAAGCCTGTTGTTGAGGAAAAATTATTATATTACTATTTCCGGTCTTGTTATTTGCTGTCTAACTTTCTCACACATCGACTTGACCCATTCATGCTCCTTCCTCTAATGCAGCAATCTCAGTGTTTGCATTCTCGAGGTATCCAGAAGATATGGAATGGCATATCTTATTTCTTTGCCTTGCAGCCAGTTATTGCATGCTTATCCTCATTGAATACCCATTTCCAGCCAGCAGTAGACAAATGTGTTTTTATCACAAATCTGATACACTGGTACAGTACCATTTTTTTAGAAAGTTAGGTGGCTAGTTTAGATCTGAACACATCACTTATCAAGTTGAGAACCATGTTTAAAATTGGCATGGAAATAAGGCCACATGCCTTTTCCATAGCTTAGGCACCGTCCTTAAGCACTTTGTGGTTTAGTTCTTGTTTTGTAGCTCATAAAAAAATGACAACTGAAGTATTGCTCCTTCTCATTGTGTTTGAATGGTACTGTTTTCTATAAAGCACAGCCTGTTGGTAATAGCGAAACAGTGGCAAATCATTTTTACTTGCTTCTAAGATTAAATTCAGCACTGCAATTATTCCAGCATTTTTTGTTTTTGTTTTTTGTTTTTTTTTAATGGGAAATTGTTCATATCTTTCCTTGTTAGGTTAATTATCTTTCCAGGTGTCTGATCTATATTACTTTCCAGACTTTTGAACTTGAATGTTGCAGTAAGGACACAGAAGCTGTCCAAGCCATGATAAGAGTAACATTCTGCAGAGGACCTGCTTCTTGATGCATGTTTAGCCATTCTAACATATTTTCATTGCAATCTTATATAGTTCAAACAACACACATTTGAATTGAACCGACCCTTACATTTAAATAATACTTAGTAACTCAGAGGGAGAGCTTCTTCTTCATTCACTCTTGAAAGGGCAGTTAGCACATTGTGTTGTGGTTTATGGCTAGGCTGCAGTCCTCCTTTTCTGCTAACATTAAATTTAAACAAGTTGTTGATCAAGCGCCATTTACAGCCTGCTTGTTGAGGGACAGTGGGTGTTTTCTTGTTTGCCCTCCCCGCCTTCTCCCCACCACATATAAATGGGGATCTCTGCAACCCACACTAAGAAAAGGAAGGAAGAGTATAATCCTGCATAAAATATGGGGAAACTGTTGCTTTGTTATAAAGTATTATGAATAAATTCTGTATCTTCTTTTGTTTGCTTCTTTCATGCAACACTTTTATTTTATTGTTTTTAAAGGAGAGAATGGGTCCAGTCGAGGGTCACGATGGGGAAGATGTATCAGACTCATTTCAGACTGATGGGTAAGTCAAAACAATGCTTAGATGGTAATAACACATTTGGAATAAGGCATATCTCCGCCTGTCATTGCCAGCCCCAAATGATAAAAAAAAAGATGGTCAGCTTCCCTACCATGTAAGAAAAAAAAACATGTCCTACAAAAACTTGTGTACGAATCGTCAGGATAGAACAGAATGGAAAAGTAGGCTGTGAGCCTTGTGTGGTGTATAATGGCATAACCTGATAATGATGAGGAAGACATTTAGAGTGACTAAAAGTTAGTTAGGACATGCAGAACCAACCCCCAGCTTTTTTTTTGGACTGTTTATGATTTCACTAGCTAGTTTAACATTCAATAGTTTGCTCTAGCTTTCTGAAGGGTTGGGCTCTCGAAATCATTATCAAAAGTAGTGCAGGGCAGTCTGCTGCCAAATTGCCTGCAGCTGGGATCAAACATAGCACCATTGAATTACAAATCACATTCACAGCACCCAAGCCACAGACAGTTTTGCCAATCCTTTTACTTTCCGTGTCTGTGGTGTCCTTTTATTGATGTTGGATCTCCACTGTAGTTGGATGGAAGGAAAAACTTGCCTACATTAAGGAACAAATGACAAATTGTTAGGATTGTGTGTACTATTTTGATACTGTCTTTCTGTATTCGCTGACAGATATTTGCCTGGAGAAACAGGAGTACAGAATATTAATATGATCTTTGAATCTAGTAGTGAGAGCTTTATTTTCAAACACAAATTCAGAAACCATGAATCATGTACTTGGCAGTTAGATAAAGTAATAATTGTGGAGACAGTGATGTAAAATACCTCATTTATATATATATATATATATATATATATATATATATATATATATATATATATATATATATATAGAGAGAGAGAGAGAGAGAGAGAGAAAGAGAGAGATTTGTTCACAAAGTGGATGGAAGCACACTAAATATGGTCTTAAATCTCAAAGAGCTAATTGTCTTTTTTTAGTGCATTTTAAACATGTGAATTACATAATAAGAAAGATATGTGTAATCATGCTATTTTAATCATTGATATAGTTTCTGAAAATTAGATACAGCATTCTCAGTGTAATGGTGTGTACTATAAAATAATTAAACTTATTTGCACTAAAACAAAATATCAAGCAAAAAAAGCTTTGTCAGAAATGCTTCTTTAGAAATTCAGAGGAAAGATTGAAACAAAGTATACCTGCTGCTTCTTCTTCTTCGTTCACCAGCTTTAAGCTACGGCAGAAAGTCCTGGTTGTTCACCCTTTGGACTTTGGCTCTGTGCCAGGACCTGAGTTTTGTGTGTATATCCATTTTACTGCCTTTTTTGTGTGCAGCTGGGTGTTCAGGCAGATGCACTCTGAATTTAAAGAAGTCCCTAATTAGTCGACTCGTATGGCATGCTTGTTGGGAAGGCAGTGGGTCTATTCTTGTTTTTCCCACAATGGGACCCTGGAATTCACACAGGAAAAACAAAATATATAAATTACAGAAGGCTGCTCACAGCCATACACTTCATATATCTGAATACGAAATTAGGAATAAGTAGTAACTCATGAAATTATTTCAGATGTACCACAGTTTGTGCCGTCAGTTGACAACCTACATTTAAAACTGTGGTCACATCTTTTGTTCATAATGTACCTTTGAATCGTGAGGGAGACGGTCTGACCACTTTACATTATAAGATACAATGTTATAGTTGTCCCCATGTGGGATGCAATTTTTCATTATTTGAAGCCTCACCCTGGCTTTTGCCAAGGCTCTGAATATAGCTGGGCCATAAATATCGCCTAACGGCTGAAAGGGGTTTCTGGGACCACTCTATGGGTGATCCTCATCCGCATGGTGGCACTTTGTGTCACCGGGTGTTTATCGCTTGAGTGATGTCCTGGTGGGGTACAACAAGAGAGACAGAGATGACCACTTCACCTAGAAGCTCTAGAAAATTATGAGGTTGCTGAGTTAATGTTGTATTATATTACTTGTATTTTCAAGCTGCCTGGTTTGTCTTCAAAATGATGGAGGACCACTGGGTATACATGCCGTCCCAGCTTTTGATGAGCACGGAAAAGAAATGGGCCTTCTCATACAGAGCATAGAACCAGACAGACCTGTGGATAAGGATGGCAGGATTAAACCTAATGATACCATCGTGGAAATCAATGGCAACAGTTTGAAAAATGTGCCTTTTCTGAGGTGAGCTAAAATAATGATCCAGAAATTTTAAGATGTTTACATCATGAAGTATCATGTGTGTGTGTGTGTTGTGTTTGATATCAAAATAAAAAGTGAAAGGCCCTATACCTGCCATTAAGAAAAAGATATTGGCATTTATACACCCATTTTTCTGTGTGGGTTCAGAGGCTTCCTTTTGGAGGACACTGCCCCTGTAACCAACGTGTCATGGGGGGTGACTAATTAAGGTCTTTCCTGAAATGTGGGAATGCATCTGTATGAGATGCAAGGAACTAACTGTCTGCATACATGTAAGCCAGATCTGTAAAGTGATGTGCTCACAAAACTCAAGTTCTGGCTCAAGACGAAAGTCCAGGATAGGATGAACAGCTAGAGCTTTCTCCAGAGTTAGCAGCTGATGGATTCTAAGAAGAATAAGAAGACAGATAAATTGACACTTGATGAGTGATGTGGTCAACATCATGTCAGCCGTCTCTATGTCCTACGAATAAGCCTTTACCCAGAGTATGTTAGTTTGACTCGGCAGCCCAGGTCAGTTATAAGACACATCTTGCGCAATGCAGATTTGAACCAAATACCTTCCGGCCATCAGGCAGGCGTCTTGCCACTGCACTACCGCAGCTCCCGAATTTGACATATTTTATTTAAATTATTGTAATTCATAATACTCTGTTCAACCCTGACCAAGTTGCAGAGAAATGTTTAGTATCTGTTATTCTTTCTGGGGTCACGGGTTTGTCGATAATTTCAAGAATGTGCTTTGAATTTTATGGGAAGGAAAGGCGGCGAGAAAGGAACTAGTCACCACACATTATTGTCATGGCCTAAAATGTATGAAGATCCAACTCTTCACCCCAGCAGCAATATCTTCTATGCAATTAATCCTTTTTTTTAAACTTAAATTATTAATGTTTATTTTTTAAAGTTAGTTGTGTATCCTTTACAGGAGATTACAGAACCAACGCCAGCATTGTTGGGCTGTTCTGGTTGTACCAGGCAATTGAAATATCTCTAGTTTGCTATTGCCTCTCAATGGCCGGCTCTCGATACCATTGTCAAAATCAACGCAGACTGCTGCCTAAATGCCCGCAGCTGAAATCGAACCGGGATCCCCAGAATTACTTAGCTCATTTGAAACATCTAAACTACTGATGCTGACATTATTATTTAAGGATAATGTTTCATTATTATACTGTCTTTTGGGAGCAGCGGTAGTGTAATGTCTGGACTCTGCCTGATTGTCATGAGTTTGAATCTGCATTGAGTCCTATAAGATTGTTGTCAAAATTGACATTGGCTCCCAGGTCACCCAGTCTAAAATGGATACTTCCTGGAAAGTAAAGGCAGCTGATGAGCTGATGACCACATCATCTACTGAGTGCAGATTGGTCTATAAAAATATGATTGTAGCATCATTTGCCCAGTGCACCATTGCTGCAGGAAGAGACTTTTACTCACTTTATTATACTGTCTACTACGCCATTCTTATATGCATATAATACACCTCATTCTTTCCATAAGGGCATGCAGGGCTTTTTTGTTTCCTTTTTTCATAAAAGCAGGTCATAATTTCCTACTTTTGCTGCTTATTTTCGTTCATTAAAAAAAAAAATTTCAAAATCTAGATAATGTATGTGTTTGATCTTCTGTATTTGTTTATTTATAAGTGATAACATTTGTAATGTTACTTTTACTTAGAATTGTGTTTTCTAATTGTTCACATTTTATTGAAATAAAACATCTGTTCATATTGATCCTTTACCTAGTGCCCAGAATATTTTTCGAGCTGCAATGGACACCAAAGAAATTCGTCTGAGAATTGTTAAAGGAAGTGCAAACAGTACATCATCTTTATCACATCTGAAGGGCAAACAGAAACCTGCACCTCTGCCCCCAGCTATACTGCCAAAGCCTCGCAGTCATGCACCAGCGAGACCTTCACCTCTGACATTACCAGCACCAGAATCAAAAGGAAAAGCCACCATCCCAACCCCTGCCCCAAGGGATGCCTCCAAAAAGACTGTTGATTCATCAGAAAACAGTGAAAATTCCAATGGAAGTGATCATATGAACCCAGATATAAATTCTTCTGTGAAAGTGAAACCTGAATCTTTACTTGTTTATAAGAATGTATCTCCTTCCCCAAGTGCAAATATAATTAAACCTGGCCCTCCAATAAAAGCCCCAAAGAAGGTGCCACCAGCAATTCCTGCTCGTAATCCCGGCACATCCCTTACAACTCACCTGCCAGAACCTCCCCTGAATGCTGTGACCAACACAAGAAGAATTGGGAAGAAGCTGGTTGTACAGCTCAGAAAGGGTCCTTTGGGGTTAGGATTCAGTGTAACGTCAAGAGATAATCAAACAGATGGCAACTGCCCTATTTACATTCGCAATATCTTGCCTAAAGGTGCAGCTGTACAGAGTGGCCAGCTCAGACCCGGTGATCGTTTGTTAGAAGTAAGTGTGTTTCTTAACATGGCAAAATGTATTGACTTGTATTCTGTGTTTAATAGGATTAAGAATGTTTCTTAACATGGCAAAACGTATTGACTTGTATTCTGTGTTTAATAGGATTAAGAATGTTTCTTAACATGGCAAAACGTATTGACTTGTATTCTGTGTTTAATAGGATTAAGAATGTTTCTTAACATGGCAAAACGTATTGACTTGTGTTCTGTGTTTAATAGGATTAAGAATGTTTCTTAACATGACAAAATGTAAGGACTTGTGTTCGGTGTTTGTTAGGATTAAGTATGTTTCTTAACATGGCAAAATGTAATGACTTGTGTTCGGTGTTTGTTAAAAGTAAGTATGTATCTTAACAGTGAAAAAATACAGTGTCTTGAGTTAAGAAAATTAAAAGTAACTGCAAGAATAGAGTGATGAATAACTTTAGCCTAAATAACAAGAAAAATCTGATTTGTAATATAACATTTTGAAATTCTAGAAAGTTACTTATTGTCTTGTTTTCTATTTTTTTCTAGGCATTCGCCAGCTCTAAACTCCATCGAACAGTTCTAGCTGTTTGTCCACATTTGGACTATGGTCTTGTTCTAGAACTTGAGTTTTGCTTGCAGATCTGTTTTACAGATCTGGCTTATTTGTATGCTGACTGTTAGTTCCTTGCCTCTCGGGTAGATGTGCTCCTACTTTTAAGGAAATACCTCCTAGTTAGTTGTTTTTTAATGCCATGCTTGTTGGGGGAAGGGGAAGTGTTAATTGGTTTATTCTTTTTTGTTTTTATTATTATACTGGAACCCACGTGGGGATTTGGTCTTGTTTGAACAAAGGGCAAAGGCCCAACCAATTCCCTGATATGTATTACATTTATAGTGATAGTCACATCATTCTTTAGACCCATTAAAAATTGTTTAGTAGGATTTTGTCAGCATTATACTAGCCACCTTTCGTTCCCAGAATATTTTCTGATACTCATTTTATCGGGTAATCCAGGTCAGCTTTTAAAACTGCCTCACTGGGGATTCTAAGCTATGACAAATGGGCCGATCTTTTTTTTTTTTGACAGCTAGTGTTTGTTTTTTCGCCTCAGATTTGCAGGCTTTTACTAAACCATTTAAAATGTTACTGTTCATTCTGGCGTTCAGAGGCTAAATACCTACCAAAAAAATTGTTTCAAGTAATATGTGTTGAAGTCAGATAAACAAGCTAACCAAGGGACTAAAATTAGAACCAGGAATATTTGTTATCTCAGAAATATAGATGAAATTGGGAACCCCAAAGAGGCAGGTGGAACCCTTGAAGAACAGGATTGAAGTAGTCTTTAATAACCTAAGACTTCAACATACACCAAGCAACCGTGCGAGCCCTAGCTTAGCTACCTGTCTTCTGTTAAACTTTGACCCTGGACAAAACTTATGTTGGCAACAGAAAGAGAAGTAGAAGAGAAGATCAGTAAGCAGTGTTTACTCATGTTGTCTTTGTAGCTTGCCTGTTGTTCCTTTTAACTGTTTTATCCTGCTCAAGGACGCCTGGCAAACATTTTTGTCTTTTGTTCTCTTTTTATTTTGATCTTAACTGTGGAAGATTTTAACTTTAACCCTTTCACCCCATGAATGCTAAAAAGAACAAAATAGGTCATGAACTCTTAGAAATTTCCTCCAAGAAATCTTTTTTTTTTTTTAACTTTTTGCACAGGTAAGTAATAAATTGTTTTAAAATTTATCATTTAAAAAATTTTGTTTTTAAATATGTAAAGGTGTATACAGGGAGTAATCAGTAAACCAGAACAAAGTGAAGCATTAAATGAAATGCATTGCCTAGGGCCTAAACAAATATGTATCGGGTGACTCATTCAGTGAACTCGTGACCTCTATCAATGAGGCTTACAAAAGAATTTTAAGTCAACCTGGCTTTTAAAAAGCTATTGGATTTACAAGGAAAGCCCTCTAAATGCTATATTTAGTTAATATTTTCACACCCGGGTCTCCTAAAGTCTAAACAGGCGCAAATGAACCATTGGCATGTAACTGCTTTTCAAGAACAGGTCACTGCAGAAATAGCTATATATTGGCGTTTATGGGGCCAGAAGAGGCTAGATTAAGCCTTCTGAGGGCAATATCTCTTAAGTGCATAAATCCCTGCAGTTTCTTTATTTACAGCCCAAAAAATGTATAATTTTTTAGGTAAATGGAGTTCACATGACTGGAAAAACTCAAGCCGAAGCAGTGTCATTTTTACGCATGCTTCCTGAGGGGAGTCTTGTAGAGTTAGTCCTTTCTCGGCAAGAGGAGGTGGATGAGAAGTTCAGAATTCCTAGAAAGCTGGTAAGTACATTACTGCAGTTATACTCTTTGTCATTTGTCTTCACATATAGTGTTTGAACATATAACTAGAATGGAAGCATATTTGAGCACCTTATGACTCATTCTAATGCTTCTTTTTGCCCTAACGATTCCTTTCTTGTCGGTCACCTCTTATGAGAAGTATATTTTTTTTAAAGTTTGATTAATTTATTGCACTAGGTTTTTGCCTATCTGGCTCAGTTCTCTACACAGAACAACTGGCCAGACCAGAATATTTCGCAAGAGATGCCAAATTGAAGAAATAATCATGGTGAACATAGCCATACCTGCATTACTTTCAAAGTGGCAGGATACATACTGGTAATAACCATAGAAGCAGCCATATTTCTTAAATAAATATGCTGTGATCGCCCCATGTGGGTTTTGGGGTCCCATTGCAGGGAAAACAAGAATAGCTGCCTTCCTAGCAAGCATGTCCTAGTAATCGACTAGCTCGGGGGCATCCTTTGAAGTCTGAATGCATCTTCCTACGAGACAAGGAACCAAGGATCTGCATGCAGATAATCAAGATATGTTAAATGGATGTTTGTGCAACACTCATGTTCTGGAACAAGACTTAAGTCCAGGGGTGGACAAACAACCAAACTTTTTGCTGGAGTTTACAGCTGGTAAATTCTTAGAAGAAGTAGTATGGTTTGATGAGATGTTAGAAGTTAGAGCACCCATTATGCTATGGAGGAAAATCAAGGGGTAGAGGTCATTCACACATCAGGCATTGCTTGCAACTTAAGGAGCTATAAAAAGTTAGTTGCAAATTTACAGGACGTTGCAGAACCAACCCCAGCATTTTTTGCTGTTGTGGTTTTTGTAGGCAAATATTATGTTCAGTAGTTTGCCATTGCTGACTGAATGGTCAGCTTTCGATACCACTGTGGAAAACAATGCAAAACAAACTGTCAGCTGCTGGGATTGAACTCGGCACCCCGGCATTACGAAGCATGTTTCACAACGCCTAAGCCGCAGATGCCGACAAACAAAAGAGCTATAGCAAATACAAAACCATTAACTTTTTATCTACAACCATGGCATTTATGACCCTAAAAAAGCGCCATGAGCTCAGAGATGCAAACCCAAAACAAACCCACACCATTCACAGCTCAGAACAGACACTGGCAAGACACTAGCTGAATGTTTGTCTTGTAATTGGATATATATCTATTTTCTTTTCTTCTAAGAGGTGACTGTGTTTGAAAACTACATGCTTGCTCTTGTAGTTGAGTGCATATTGCATACTAACATTCATCAGTGCTCACAGTGTAGTTTTCAAAATGCATTTTAGTTTACATACACAGTTTTACTAGTGGTTCTGTTAGCATTGACTTACTAAAACTTCATTTTACATCTCTAATATATGTGTATAGATATACACACACACATTTATATATACATATATATTTCTCTTCTCTTCTGCCTTTCTATCCCCCAGTGGAGCATAGACCCTCAACCAACTCACGCCAAGTCGTTCTATCCTTCGCCATTACATGGAGCTCTTCCCATGTCCTCCCCATCTTCCTAACTTCATTCTCCAGCTCTCTTCTCCATGTGTTTTTTGGCCTTCCTTTATTCCTATGCCCTTGTGGGTTCCAATGCGAAGACATTGTAGTTATGCTGTTCTCCTGTTTTCTCAGTGTGTGTCCTATCCAACGCAGGCATCTTTTCCTCACCTCTAGGTCCACTGGAGCCTGTTCAGTTCTCTCCCAAAACTCTACATTAGTTATTCTATCATGCCATTTAATTCCCTTTATTCTGCGCAGGCACCAGTTAATGAATGTCTGTAATTTATTAGTAATTGCCTTAGTTGTTCTCCATGTTTCTGCCCCATACAAAAGTACTGATTTGACATTAGAATTTAAAAATTTTTAGTTTTGTATTTCTTTTAATTTCTTTTGACCTCCAAAAATTCCCTAATGCTATGAAAGCTCCTCTGACCTTTTATATTCTTATTTTAATATCTCTATCAGTTCCTCCATCTTTATCTACATTACTGCCCAAATAGGTGTACGACTCCAAGTCTTGGAGTGGGGTGCTATTAAGAGAAACCACATTACTATTTGCCTGATTTATTCTCTTATCTTTGTCTTTCCTTTATGGATTTTCAGACCAAGCTGCTGTGATTTCGCATCAAGTATATTTAACTTATCTTGCATCTGATTTTGTGAATGGGACAGAAAAGAAATATCATCAGCGAAGTCCAGATCATCAAGCTGTTTTGTAGGGGTCCACTGAATTCCATTCTTGGTGTTAGCAGTTAGTGTTTTCATAATCCAGTCTATAGCCAGTAAAAATAAGAGAGGCGACAAAAGACATCCCTGTCGCACACCTGTTTTTATTTCAAATGCATCTGTTAGCTTTCCCTCATGAAGAACTCGACATTTCATGTCTTTATATGTTGCCTTTACTAAGTTAATAATTTTCTGTGGGATTCCATAGTGCCCCATCAATTTTCAGAGAGATTCCCTATCAGTGCTTTTAAATGCTTTTTCATAGTCAATAAATCCAATGTTAAGTGGTGAGTTCAGTTCAATGCTTTGCTCTATTAAATACATAATGTGGCCATCTTGTCAGTACAGGATCTGTTTGACCAAAAACCATCCTGCTCATCTCTTATCTTTTTATAAATAGCATCTTTTAATCTTTCCAAAATAATTCTACTTAATATTTTTCCAGGAACTGACAGCAGCATAATTCCTCTATAGTTTTCACATTTCTGCAGATCACCTTTTTTGGGCAGTTTCACAAGATATCCTTCTCTCCAGTCTGCTGGCATTTCTTTGGTTTCCCAGACTTTACTAAATAATCTATGTAGCAATTCTGTTGATGGGTTTATGTTGGCCCTAATGGCTTCAGCTGGGATACCATCTGGGCCTGCCACCTTTCCTTCCTTGAGAAGATTGATAGCTTTTATAATTTCCTCTTTAGATGGTATCTCACAGTTGATATCCAGTTCCATTTCTAAAGGTGTCATCAATAGCCAAGTTATTCATCAGGTTGAACCTACAACAATAACTACAAACATATTTCCTCTCTAGTCATTTCATTACACTATAGGTCGGACATATGTGTACCTATGTTAAGGTCACGCCCTCAGAATAAAGAAAGGAGATGGCCGAGACAGGCAGTGCAATGGACACCATAAGAACAGTGAGGAAGAAGCTGGCCCAGAGGCACTTAGAGGCAAACTTTTGAGGCTGAACTCAAGCTGCGCGAAGGACAAAACTGGAAATAGAGAGGATGCTCAGGATCAAATTGAGTGGTGGCAGTTTGTCTCTGCCTTATGTGCCTCTGGGATTGTTTGATGTCAAGGTCAAACACATTGGACACTTGATGCCTAGTCTGTTCTGTAGAGAAAATTTCAAGCAGACAGTTGGTTGGGTCCACAGTGTGTACATAATTCATACATACATTCAGAAATATATGAAATTCTATATAACTGTGTGAGGTATAGAGTTAGTTGTGTATTTGAAAACCAAATATATATTGTTCTGTTAACGTTTAATTTGTTTGTAAATGTTTTGGAGGTATGGATATGTCAGTGAAAGCTTGTTTATAAAGCAAACATAATTTTTAGTGAAGGGAAAATCGGAAAGTAAAAGCTGCCTTTCATTTTAAAAGCCATTTCAAGGAGTCCTTTTTATCGCATGCCATGTTTTCCATTTGGAACTTTGTGCATTTCTCTTTTTTTATCTGGTAATGTTTTGTTGTTTCTGGCTGCATGTTAATTGTGTTTCACCTTCTAATTTAAACGCATGTTTACATTTGAAAATTGTAAAGTATGTTTGAGTTTCTAATGTTCAGCAAAACAGTTCCAAAATTTCCTAGCTAATTTTTAAACACCTTTATATTTAAAATGACAATGAGATTAATTTATTAAGATGTTACCTCTTGTTTTAAACAAAATTTTATTAAAAATATATAATTTTTAAATTATAATTTCACCTCTATAATTTCAGCTGTAGTTTCTCAGGTGTTAAATATTTGTGTTGTTTTTGTTGTATTTGAAAACTATTAATGATTTTCGTAAAATTTTTAATTTTTGCTTATTATTTTAACTCAGTTGATGTTTGGTGCTATAATTGACTTGAGTTAATGGCTGATCTGACCAAAAGACTAAAATTGGGAAGGGGGGAAAAAAACACTAATTTCTATACACTTCATGGCATCATTAATCCAGTTGAGAAAAAAGTGTAACTCCATATACTTTAGGGCATTCCCAGTCCAACTGAAAAATACTGACTCTGTAAATTTTAGGACATCCCTAATCACAATGAGAAAAACCAAAAACTGTAGGACATGGCATTCCAAGCTCCAACTGAGAAAAATGAGGACTCCTGACACTTTAGAACAGCCTTAGTCTCCAACTGAGAAAAATGCAGACTCCTTACACTTTAGAGCAGCCTCAGTGCAGACTCCTTACACTTTAGAGCAGCCTCAATCCAACTGTGAACATTGCAGACTCCTTACACTTTAGAGCAGCCTCAATCCAACTGTGAACATTGCAGACTCCTTACACTTTAGAGCAGCCTCAATCCAACTGAGAAAAATGCAGACTTCTTACACTTTAGAGCAGCCTCAATCCAACTGAGAAAAATGCACACTCCTTACACTTTAGAGCAGCCTCAATCCAACTGAGAAAAATGCACACTCCTTACACTTTAGAGCAGCCTCAATCCAACTGAGACAAAAACTCACCTCATGTATGTCCAGTCCAACTATGCTACTCAGAAAATAGAAGTGCATGCATCATTTGGCAATCAAAATCTTTGTAAAGTAGAGAATGACATTTTTTTTATATTGCACACAAAAATACTATAGGGTTCAACCGATCAATTGACAGATGCATCAGGGTGACTGATAGTTTTTAGACATATGGGTTTTTCCCCTGTCAACTAATTAAAAACGTGCCATCCGATAACTAATTTTTTTTGGGTGGGGGTGGGGAGGGGGAGGGTTAGCAGTATAGGAAATACACTGATTCCATAACTTTTAAATAACCTCAGTCAAAAAGAAAATAATTGACCACATACTGTATAGCATCTTTAATCCATTGATGAAAATATAATGACTTCATAAAGTTCAGATTCATGGCCAGACTTATAATAGAAACAAAAACTTTTGAGAGAAAATGAAGAACAGTAAAAGTTGGCGTCAGTTGTAGAATACTCGTCAGAAATAATATACCTTAAATACTGTTACAGAGAAGATTTAACTGTTGGGAACAGTATTTTGCTCTTTGACATTTATTTTAGATGTTTTAATGAAAGATATTTTAATATAGATGTAAAGTGTAGGAGATTTTCAAATGTATTTCAATATACATACCTAAAGCATACTATTTTAAAATGTATGACTTGAGCAGAATGTATTTTAACAAAAAAAATGTAAAAATGGTTACTAGTGTCATTTCTGGCCTCTCATTTTTTTGTTTTTTTATTAAGTACTCAACAGTGTATTTTGAAATAGCTAATTGTTTGCGAGGATTTTTGTTATATTTGATCAGAGTATGTATGCTTTGTTAGTGTGTAAACTTCTTTGTTCTTGTGTGCTTTTCAGTTTGTGCTCTTAACTTTCAGTCAGCTTTTAATCAATTGTCAGTGTTTAAGAGTGTCTTGTGTGTTGTCTCATGGTTTGACTTTGTGCTTTGAAAATTCAGCTGAAGTAAAATTCCCCAGGTTGGCCTACAAGATCCCATTGTTTTAGTCAAAAAATACTCCACTGCCCTTTAATACATATGCCTGAAAAGGTGACCAATTAAGAGTTTGCTGAAATTAGATGTGTTAGACCGCCCCCTAACAAGCATGTCATAAAAAGTGATTGATTAGGAGTTTGCATCAGATGTGTTGGGCTGAAAGTCAAAAGATATCACAGCCTAGCTGTAAATCACAACACATTGTGCCAACTGCCATTTTAAGGGTGAACACAGAAGATTTATTTATTTGTTATCATTATGTAGTCAACAAAACACTGTTATCTCTGTATTACCATTCTAGTGAAGATTGGTAGTAGTTTTTATTTTACAAATATTAAGAGTCCTGATCTGTACAGTCACAATGTGAAAGCTTCCTCTTTGAGATCAAATGAGTAGCAATTTTATATATATATATATATATATATATATATATATATATATATATATATATATATATATATATATATATATATATATATATATATATATCCATGTTGGATTCTTAGAGCCTAAAGAGGCGAGTAGGAAAGTTCTGGAAACATTTATGTCGTTAAATATCTCACTGTACATTTTTATTTTTAGTTTTACATCTCCATATTTGCAATACAAATACTTGAAACCCCATGCAGCTGTTTAGTCATATGGCGCAGTTATATGGGTGCACCACAAAACGGTTACCAGGTAACATATGGTCCCAACATGGGTGGGTTTTTCCCCCCTACAAAGCCAGCATAGCTTTATACATGAATCTAAAGCACTGTGTTTTTGTAAACAGCTTTGTGATTATTTCTTACTTTTGCATGGTCAGCAATGTTCTAAATATTGCGGTTTTCCTTATTTTCAAATTATTGTAAAGTGTTTTAATTTTGTATGTACTTTGCTTTTGCTTGTTGTTCTGACTGCATGTTTGTGGACTCCATTGTTTTGGCTTTCAGGGAGATGATACGTTGCCTGAAAATGAAGATGAGAATGATATTATTGATGAGTCCGATGGTGCTGGTCAACCCAATGTCTCACCTTTACAGCCCTCTCAGGGACATGAAGTGGACACTCCAGCACTGGGAGCAAGCAACGAAAAATTAACTCTTCACATTCCACTCAACGATACGGGTTCTGCTGGCCTTGGTGTTAGCGTCAAAGGAAAGACTGAATCCTCAGACTCCGGCATCAGAGATCTTGGGATATTTGTGAAGACTGTCCTAAAAGGGGGTGCAGCTTATAAGGTTTGGTCTTGATGTTATCTTTAGTTGTGATAACATTATTTATGTGAAGAGACATATTTATTATTTACTCTTAAGTAGATCTAAAGCCACGAATGCTTGCATGTTGCTTGCTGACTTTGTGGTCATGCATTTGAACTTCCATCAAGGTGAATTCTTATATTTGACCACAACTTCTAGGTCAACTCAGCCTAAAACTAATAGTTATAAGAGGTTGTTGTAAGCAGAGGCAGACAGTGTCATATCAGACATATCACTCTTCAAGTGCTGATTGGTCTTTCTAAATATAGTGTCAGTATGCCACAAGGCATGGAAACATGCCCTTTACAAAAAGTGTACTACACAGGTAGCTAAAATGTTCAGACCATCTAGTGAATAAGATTACAGACCATTGGATCAACTGCTACTTTAGGACATAATTTCAACATCCATACATAATGAACTGTAAAAACACAGACTTGATTTTGTCTTCAGTGTCATTTGTTTGTGTAAATAGTATTATCTCTGGATTTTATGTTCGCAAGGAAATGGACAACAACAATAAAACCAACACCATTTAGCATTCAAAGTGCTGAAAAGTTAACAATATGCAGGGCACAGTACACAGAATATATTTCTCATTAAATTGGCTGTAGCAAAATAGCAGTTTATTGTGTGTTTTCAGATACCAGTTGGATGGTACTTTTCAGACTGAAGTTTTAAGAAGATTTCATAGCAGATTATAAAGGGCAACATTACCCGCAACTATAAGAGTGTTAGTTAATTATTTTTAAAGACAATTTTGCAGTGATCTATAATTATATATCTAGCCAGATTTCTTTATCACCTTCCTTTCTTCTTCCTGCTTCTTCTTCTTCTTCAGCAATTTAAGCTTTAGTTCATTTTGGAAGACACTTGTGTTTTCTTCAACATTCCAAGCCCTTGAGGTTGATTACATAATCACCCACCTCCGCTCATCTCTGTGATTGGCCTTCTCTTTCTACTTGATGACTCCAACAGTTTGTAAGTCTGTATGTATATTATCTCTCCACAATCTTCTTGGTCTGCCTCCTGGTCCACTACCATTCAGCTCTTTAGGGAATGTAGTCTTTGTCTGTGTTGGGCACGCTTAGACCAAATGTTAAAGATATGAAAACATGCCATCGATTATTTGGTGTCAACAATAGCTGATGATACTGTGGTGTTTGGGAGGACAAGATTTGTCTCAGTGATCAGTTAGTTACATGCTACATGTACAGAGTTTTTCATATTGTCTTCATGAATGTATAACATGTCAGTATGAAACATAAAGTAAAAACAAGGTGCATGTTGTTGACTGAGTTGAGAAGATATAAATATTTGGTCAAAGCCATTGTTAAATTTCAGTTTCTGGGGATACATTGTCTTACTTTTCTGTTCTGTTGTTATTGTCAGGATGGTCGACTTCAGGTTAATGATCAGCTGCTGGAAGTCAACGGTGTGAAACTGGAAGGTTTGTCCAACACATCAGCTATGGAAGCTCTTCGGGTCGCCATGATGGAAGAGGGCCAGGTTCCAGGAGTGATCAAGCTGACAGTTGCTCGAAGAACAGGCTCGGAGCCTTTCCCACTCTTTTCTGGAGATTCACCAGATAACAGTCAGATGGATATTGTTCCTTCGGCTGTTCACAAACGTGCCTCTTCTGCTTCAAATGTCAGTGCCATTGTCCACCAGAGGTCATCGTCAGCTTCTGAAGTTGCTAGCCTAAGCCAACACAAATTTGGGAATAGTAAAGATATGCCTTCTCCTATTCCTCCGATGAGAAGCAGCAGAGTGGCTGCCCTTAGAGAACACTTTTCTGACTCTGGGGGTGGACTGAGAAATGAGTCTTATATGAAGGCAGCACATGAAAGTTTCCATGAGCTAAGTTCTTTCATAAACATTATGCCTTCTCCGTTAAGCAAAAGCAAATCTCAGATGGAAGCAAAATCCCTAGATAGCAAGAATATTTGGATTAATGAAAGCGATACCTACACACTGCCAAATGTAAGTAATGTTTCTATTGGAAGATGTTGCATTATTTATGTGTTCTCGTTCAGGTCCTTGATGTTTACCAGGGTGTAATTTCCATGGTGGGTGGTTTAGAAAAAGAGTAAAGCTGTATGTGTATGTATGTATTAATTGGATAGATAGATGGATGGATGGACAGATGGATATCTGTGTGTGTGTGCGTACGCACGTGCAGGTGGGTGGTGGGGGGGGGGGAGATAACAGTAATTAAATATTTTGATTTTTTAATATTAGTTTTGAATTTTAATCAGCAATAAACCTTAACAATGAAGGGTGAGAAGCAACAGCATTCATAATCTGCGGGCGGCGGGTGTGGGGGGGGGGGGGAAGAGAGAGATAACGGTAATTAAATATTTTGATTTTTTAATATTAGTTTTGAATTTTAATCAGCAATAAACCTTAACAATGAAGGGTGAGAAGCAACAGCATTCATAATCTGTTTAAATCACTACTTATTACTGGCATCTTGAGGGCTAATTGACTGCATTGGGGGACTATAGAGAAAAATTACAGATAACAGATAAAAACTGTACACAAAAGAGTTGAATGAATGTAGACCACGAGGAAGACAGGCAGACCTAACAGCACTTGGAATGTTCTGGTGGAAAGAGCAGGCCAATCAAAGAGATAAATGGAGGCAGCCCCAAGGGCTTAGAATGCTGAAGAAAACCAGTAAGTGTCTTGCCAACTGACATAGTCATTCTTCTCCCAGTTCTCTACCAGAATTTGTATAACCCATATGAGAAGCAAAGACTAGTAGCCGCTAATGCATGTCATAGGAAACAAGGCTAACTTAACTTTTAGAAAGGCATGTTTTATTGGGAGATAAAAAAGCAACAAAAGTACAACTCTAAGCTTGACCCAGACTCATAAAATGGATACCAAAATATTTAAAGAATTTTCTGGGAGAAAAGGAAACAGCTGCAACCATATTATTGTGCTGTAGCCTAGAATATGAGAAGGCCTGACAATTCATACTTTTGCATCATTATCAACTATGGGACTGTCTTTACTCTCTTCTGTGAATTTGGTGATAAAAATCACTTCTTGCATGACTGTTTTCCATGTGGGTTCTGTGACCCTATTTAAAATAAATATTAGACCCACTGTCCTTTAACAATCATGTCTTAAAAGGCTATAAGCTAAGGTTTTGCTGAAATCTGATTTGTTAGGCAGAATCACAGCCTGGCTGTAAACCGCAAAACAATTTTCCAGCTGCCATTTTGAGGGCCAGTGCAGAAGAAGAATGAAAAACTGTTAATGAGTGTCTATTGTTATAATTAAAAAGCAGATTTTTTTGGGTAATTATAGTTTAATTGTTACCTTTTTTTTTTCCATTTATAGAAACCTCAGAGACCTCATTCAACTATTGGCTTCTTGCATGGTCATCACAATTCCCATAGTTCTGCCTCAGATGATGAAGCCTTTGTCCGTGCATCTGTGGGATCAAACAAAGATGAGAACGATTTGTAAGTTTCTGACCTGACTTTTTTTTTTAAATTACTGATTCCTTGTGTTTGCAAAATTGATTCCTGTTAATTATTTTTTTTAAACTTTACAAACAATGTGGGAGTTAAAAGGATGGATTGTGTTTCATGTGTGATGATTATTTATGAAGTATAATTGTCTTCTGAACATTAATATTTTGCCAATAATATGTCTATTTAATCTTGATTGCAGTTTCTGTTTAAAAAATACTGGCATACTTCGTATTTTAATTTGTCAGTAGGGTTTCCCTGCCTGCAGTTTGTTACTAGTTGCCTTTCACATAAGTTAATGAACTTGTTTTTGCTGATGATCAGTGTCGAATACACCACCAAGAACAGAATTTACATCATAGTAACTCCTTGTATCAAGCCTGCACAAAGTATGATATGAAAATAAACACTACGAAAACTGACCAACCACCAAAGCAGGCTGTACACTATCTTGCTGACACTGCGGTTGCTATGGCTGGTCCAGTACTGGACAGAAGTGATATTATGAATGCCATGCGCTGCACTTACCATACCGAGGAGCATGCCAAAGGACATGACTCCGTATCTCTGTCTAGACTGATGGACATGAGGGTGCTGCCTGGAGCTGCAAGAAATGAACATTTCACTAAGGTGATAAGACGTTTCATTAACCAACACAGAACAGGCGTCGTCAGTCGTTTTATACTTGTGGAGCTTTTGAGGAACGAACGAACGAACTTTATTTTCATAGGGTTATAAATGGGGCCCGCAGGCCCGTCTTGCATTCGTCCTTTTCAAACACCCGTCTTTCACACTGCAGCTGTATTTTATCGAAAAGCATGTTATATTCATATGATAAAAAAAGAAAAAAGAAAAACCACAAATGCATGGGAGGTAAAATGCATGCACACACTAGCGCATGCACACACACACCCACCGACTCACTTAAACACACCCACATACCTTCACACACACATAAACACACCCTCATTCACCCACATACACACCTACATACCCACACAGACAAACATACAGATATACACACACACACAGACACAGGAGAAGATCAGAGCACCTATAGATCTGTCCGGAGTTCTGTGATGATCATCCTTTCTAATCACTAATCATTAATAGGCTCTACAACTCAAAATATCTAATGTGAAAGGACGAAGATACCCAAGGAGAAGATGGATGGATGTCATTAAAGGCATTGCACATTCCACATAGCCACATAGAATGACAAGAGCCGTTACTGCCAATAAAGCATTGACCACAAACTGTTCCTCTCTGCAATTGTTTTATGTCAAAAGTGGAAATTGATGATGAGGATGTATTAGTGTCCTTTCATATGCTGACTTAGTCTTTATAGCAGAAGTGTTTGTTCTGTCACTCAAGATTGTTTTCTTGCAAAGCTGATTAGTTCTGCTGTCCAGTTTTAAAATGCAGTCATTTTTACACTTTTACTTTAGTTAACCGACTCTACAAAAGCATCATTTTTGCCAGTTCTTCTTTATGGAGCGGAATGCTGGAGAATGACCAGAAAGGATGCACACAAGCTGTCCACCTTCCACCACACATGTCTACGTAGAATTATCAAAATTTTCTGGCCAGATACAATCTCAAACACTAAACATTTTTGTCACAAACCAAGAAACTTTAGACAGTATGATAACCAAGAGAAGATGGAAATGGCTTGGCCACATTATGAGAATGAATCTTGATATACCTGCCAAAACAGCTCTCACATGGACACCAGAGGGAAAGAGAAAACAGTGGCGCTCAAAAATAACATGGAGACGAACGATGGAAAGTGACCTGAGTGCGGCATCTTCGACATGGAAAACTGCACTGAAGATTGCACAGGACAGGAAAGCATGGAAAGTCCTCTCTGAAGCCTCATGTGCCACTAGGCATAATGAGAACTGATGATGACTTTAGTTAAACCAGTTTTGTTTCTCATCTTTATAATATAAAGTAGTTCATTATGTGCCTCATTATTTCTACTTTTACTTTAGTTCAACCCATTCTGTCTCTCATTTACATAATATGAACAAATATATCTGTCTGTTTGTAGGAGCCCACATGGGGACTTAATCTTACCATTTGAAAGGGAAGGTTTTGGCCGTCAGAGCATGTCAGAAAAACGAAAAGGTCACCTTGACCCACGCTCAACTGAGATATATAAGCTTGTGAAGGGCAACAAGGAAAACAAAGGTATGCTTATTTACATGTTATCACCTAGATTTGTTTATTTTTGTCATTTGCACAAGCTCACCCTTATTTGTTTATTTGTGATTACTTCTGCCGTTTACGTGTAATCTTCTTAAAGTCCATGCTGTGTGTAGTTGGTAGTTGTGTCTATCGACTGCTTTCTGTCTCATGTACTTTCAGACAACTGTGACACAGATGATCTTCCATGCCATGATGTCAGACTGTCCAGCAACTGTTCTCTTGGTCTCCCTCTGCCTCTTCTCCCCTCCATCTTCCCTACTGTCACGATGTACTCTGGTTTCCTCCTTCTCATGGCATGAACAGAGAATGTAGATTGTCTCTTTCTAATGTGGGCAGTCAGTTCTCTTCGTGAGTCAGTTTCTTTCGAGACACCGCCATTACTTTTTTTAATCTGAGGGTATTCTCATTATTCGTCTATAAAACTAATAAAGTCACAGAAATCTTTTTAAAAAAAATTTACTTATCTATGAATACTTGTGTTTGCATAGCTAGTTAAAGCTTGTGATTATTTAATCATCCCTGTTTGCATGTTATGCATAATGTTTAGCTACTAAACGGGACTGTAACAGAGGTAGTATGGAATGCCTTGCAAGTTTGCACTGTATGTAGCATTAGAATACTGTAGATTTCTAGTTCTTACTGCTAATGCTGAATCATGTTCTTGGTGCCAGATTTGGTGTGGTATTGCGACTAATATATTTAATGTCTTACTGTTCAATTGTTTTGCAATCAGTTTTTGCATATCTTTTAGAGGACATTGCATATCAACCCCAGGATTTGGTAGCTGTTTTGTGGTTTTTGTGGGCAATTTGTATGTTAAGTATTTTGCCATTGCTTTCTGAATGGTCTGCGTCAAAATCAATGCAAAGCTGCTTACTGCCAAATAACTCACAGCTGGAATTAAATCCGGTTTTTTAATTACAAACTGTGTTCACAGCCGATAAGCCACAGACACGGACTTTGTATAGTTAACTTTTTTAAATATATGACTCTGTCTGCTTGGATGTTCACAAGAAGAGGTTAGTATTTTCATCCTGTGCATAAACTGAGATAACTGTAATGTTGGACATGCATGAGATGAATCTTTGTCACACAGCTTTTGTTCTTATTCACTTGGGTTTGAATGTCTTCAAATAGATTGTGTTTGTTTGTGTCCTAGGTATAGTTTTAGTAATGCATTTATCACTCTACTTAACTCTAAAATGATAAAAGATTTGGAGATTTAAGATGTAGAAAATAGCAAAGAAAGTCTAAATTCAGAATAAATTGATATTTTATTTTAATTAACCATCTTTGCTTTTATATTTACTTTTATATTTATTATTTTTAACTTACAGAAAAATTAGTAATTGAATGGCAGTTGTATTGTCCACTGATGATTTTCTATTATTTTTTTTTAATTTGTCATGATTACTGCAATTTTTAGTTTAGGTTTTTTTTTTTTTAACAGTTTACATTATTTCTATGTGAAAGTTGCTAAAAGTGATTTTCTTATCTGTTCAGACAACAGTTGTTTACATTTTCTGTTAAATAAAAGACTGTAGCTTTTTTTTTTCTTAATCTCTCTCTCTCTCTCTCTCTCTCTCTTTTGGTAATCAACTTTTAAAGTGCTTCTTTTCTTATTTTGAATAAAAGTTGAGCATCCCTATTTACACGTCATAATTACTTACTATGTGATGTAAAAATCTGTATTTTTAGTGACTAACATATCGTCATTATTTTTTTTAAAAATGGTTAGGTTTACTTTTCTAGGGAAACCTTTGGCACCCGTTTTATAAGCTGAAGTTGTAAATTAATCTCCTCATAAGACACCAAAGGATTACACGGGCAGATAATAAAGTTATTGACAACATTTTTGTGGACTTGAACATTTGTCAACGTGATATTTCTGATAATACACTTCCTGCCTGGCTGCATTGTGCATCCTGGTTATGACTTCTGTTACTGACATAATTTTTGTGTGGGTGTTGTTTTTGCAGGTCGCTTTCTAGGTCGACGTGTGCAATCATTTCATGTCACAGGTAGAATTATCCCCCATTGATGCATTGTGTCCTCTGTGGTGTTGTATCTAATAATCACTGTTCTGATAATAAATAATTTATATGCTGCTGTGATTTATTTCTTCGATGATTACATGTCTGTAAAGTACAGATATTTTTTAGAGGAAGTCTGGAATATTATTTTCAGAAATGGTTTACCAATTATGTGTATTTTGTTTTGTTCTTTCATTTCATTATTATTTTTAGTGTGCTTATTTTGGCTTTAGAATTGTGTTGTAGAATAACAGTTGTTGTAAATCTGTTGTACTTCTTTCCTTGCAATGGGAAATTGATTATAGATATACTGTAATTTCATGTCGCTAGAAGGGGCAAACTGGGATATGTTGTGATTATGGGAAAAGAGAGGCAGGGGGAGATCAAGAGAGAAGATTTTGTATATGCATCATTGCACGGAAAAAGCTTCCTTCACATTTTATACGTAAAAAAAAGGGAATTAGACACCTTCAAATAAGAAACATTTTGAAAAGCATGTCCATACAAACAGGAACTTTTAATCATACCCTTAGGTTTGCTTCAGGTTTGAATTTGTATTGAGACAGATTTAAGGAAGAAAAAAAAATGTACTTCTGCTTTCAGAACAGCTTGATCAAAAATGAGTACCAGGTAATGTTCTGGGAAGTAAAGGTCGGCAGCAGTATGTTTACCACATCACCGGCTCAGTACTGATTAGTATATAAAAATATGTGTAGTGTCATCTATCCAGTTCATTATCATAGTTGTATTATGCCACTATGTATCGATAGGGATCGCAGCCTATTCTTCCATTTTGTTCTACCCTGTATAGTCCCTTCAGTATCGTAGATGAAATCCAGCCCAGCATCTTTGGCCTCTCTCTCTCTGATCAGTGTTTATTTTAGGGTTTCTTATGGACAGTCTCGTTTCCTCAATCACTTTGTTTCCCATGCTAGTGCCTGTTTGCTGATTCTCTGCTTGTTTCTTCCTTCTCACTGTGTCTCAAGTAAAGTGCCATCTTCTTTGTCTTAGAACTATTGTTGCCATTAGTTGTCCAGACATTTCTCTTATTTCTTCACTCTTTATGAATTCATCCCATTTTATATTTGTTTTCCTCTGGCATTTGTTTTCAAATGGATCTAACTTTTGTTCCATGTCTAAGTAGTTCTCCAACTTTCACTGACATATGTCAAAATCAAAATAACATTATAATTAAATAAATGTAATTTGGTTTTAAAACTGTACAATTTAGAGTTTTGTATTTTGTTCAGGCTTTTAACGGCTGCTGATGCCTTACCAGTGTGTGTATCGCCATTTCTTTCTTTGTATTTCCTTGACCAGTAAAATTATGTCTTAAATTGTAAATTGAAAAGGTGCTTTAATTCCTTTTGTCCCTAGTCCAGTTCGCCACCGCATAAAAAAGGGCAGTTTACTTACTTTTACCTTAAGTTTCAAAGATAAGCTACCGGTATTCTAGAGCGCTGAATCTAGGTCACAATAAAGAAGCGTCTGCTTCGTATAGAGATGCAAAACAAACATGGAATGGAGCAGTACTTGCACAAAGCTGACGAGCACTACAGAGAATCATGAACAATGGATGGACTGGACTAATCTGAGGATGTCCTAAAACCAATTAACCTACTGTGGATGAAGGAATTGTGAGTTTGGATTTCACTTTTACTGACAGAAGATGGAAATCTCGGTATTCTCGAAATTGCAAGCATCATTCCCTCTGATTTGGTAGTTATAAATTAACTGGTTATATTTTAATGTTTGTTTCTGATAAAATACACTGTTGCAGGAAGTAGTGATGCCATTGCCGCAAAGGTTCCCTTGCCAGCTCCTAGTCATACAGATGCAATGAGCCCATATAAGCAATTTATGACATCCTCAACTAATAGCATGATGCATGTGTCTAATGACAGTATGTAACTTCATTTCTGTTCTTTGTTTTATGTTGACTTTCTGCAAACTGTTATTTTAATTTATCAGTTATTTTAGACTGATGTTGAAAAGTTGTTGTTGGCATGAGAATAATTCTGTTGTTCTTTTTGTATGATCCAGTTTTATATTCTTATTCTGCCGTTGTGATTGTTATGTGTTTCTTTTAGCTTCTGGATTCCTCTTCTGTTGTTACTTAATCCTTCAGATCAGTGGTTCCCAGCCTTTGGACCTCTGTTCACTTCCCCAACATAAAATAATATACCGTGCTACAAGTAGTACTAGAACAAATATTTGCTGTTGTACAAGAGTCAGTGGAAAAAATGAATCTATACATTTTGTTAAATTGTTTATACAAAAGTCAGCGGAGAAATAAATCTTGAAATATCTGTAACATTTTATAACAGGGGGTCCATGTTACTCTGCTATTATGCACGGGTTGCTTGAATGAAGTGGGAATGTGAAGGAAAGGGGTGGGGTGGGAGGTTTTCACTGGTAAACAATAAAGGTCGGGAAACACTGTTTTAGATCAGTATTGCTATCTTTAAGACCATAATGTTGTTGCATAGTGTATAACATTTCTATTATAATAAGTATGTAGGTAGATTTTAGTCTCTAGTTTTAAAATGTAACATTTAACAGCATCATTAGTTATGTGTAATATTTGGAGACATCCCATGCACACACTGTTTGACAGGACATCTTATTTGTGTACTCTCAATCCCCACTATCTTTTCTTAACCTCCTTATTTATTGAAATGTATATAGTTTTCTTTACCAGCTCCACCTTGCTGGTTCTGTCGTATTATCCCAGTCCTTTAGTTTTATACAGCTTCCTGCATTCAGCATCCTGTGTTGGCTAAGTCCAACTCACTGCTTTCAGGTGTGGTTCTTTAAAATGCAGCGGAACTGTTTATACTAAAGGGAGAATGGTGAACTGCAAGCAGTTGAAGTTTTCAAATATCAAGTTTGCTTCCAGTAGCTTTAGCTCAGTAGTGATTTCCATCCAAGGAAATAGTCATCATTTATATTATTAGGCGGATTATCTCTAACTGAACTTCTAAGTTCTGTATCATTATGATCCTTTCGGCCTATAAATCTCTGGAAAAATGTTTCCCTTTTCTCTATCTCTTTGTCTGTTGTCCTTGACATACCATTATCAGTGTATATAATGCCTGTTGTGATTGGCCGATCCTTCTTTGCATCTGTCTTTGAAGTTTACAAAACCTAGCCAGTGATTTATCCCCTGCAGTTTCGCTCATAAAATGTTCCCATTTAACCATTTTTGCATCTGCTGCACATTGCTTGAACTCTTCTACTTTTTTTAATGGATGTGTCCGTAGTGCTGTGAAGTTAATCCAACTCATAACTTTTCTACTTTTTCTTTTCTGACTCTTTCTAGCTTCTCTATATCCTCTTGTAACCTGTGAGGTGTCTTTCACACTTTCTTTAATTGTTTAACTCCTGCTCGCTTTGCTCTCTATGCCTGTTCAACTTCTTGTGTCCATCATGGAGGCTGCACAAAAGCAGAGGCACTGGTTCTGCTGCATACCTTCTGTCGAAGGCACCCAAGAAATAATAAATAATAGTTCTTGGACTTCACTTGTTACCACAAGGGGTTGATGAAGCATGATTATTAAAATTCTTCACTCAAAGATAGAAAACCATACTATCCCTATTCAATCTAAAAGCTATCACAGCATGATTAAACACAGCAAAAACTAAATACAGTCTGCGTTTAATATGCTTCTGTATCTTCTTCACATTTGCTGGCTGTAAATCCAGGGGAAGCTTCTGGTTGTTCATCCACTTCTGGATTTTCGTCTTTTCCCAGAACTTGAGTTTTGCATGTACATCTATTTTAGAGGTCTAATTTATTTTATGCAGACTGTTGGTTCCCCACCTCTCAGGCACATACACTCTGACTTAGAAGGACACACCCCTAATTAGTTGCCTTTTACGGGATGCTTGTTAGGGGGCAGTGGGTCTGTCCGTCCCCCCCCCTCCCCCGTGGGTCCCCAGAACCCACATGGGCAGCTTCTGTATAAAATCTGTTCACAAACCAATCTATTCTATTCATAAAGGTTTGGGTCATATGGCTAACTTCCCCATTGCTGACTCAGCAAACTACCACATAAGTGATCTCAGGTCATCCTGGCATTTAGTTACAGCTTAAGCTTTTGCCCTGGCTTTTCATAACTCTCACATGATTGCCCACACTTCATGTGGGGTTTTCCCTCCAGTTTGGCTTCATACTTGGAATTATTATCTGAAAGCATTTTATTTTTAACAGCTTTTTAACACTAACATTAGATTGCTCTTACATCAATCATAATAGAAGTAAACCCTGAGCAAAATTCTATAATTTAACACTAGTTTGTTTATTTATTTTAAGTTTTGGTAGTTTTTCATGTTTCAGAATAATGTGTATAAAAATGTTGCCCTAATTTAATGGCTTATGGAAATGTGTATCCTGATGCTCTGACAGGTGCCTACCAGTCTAACCAGGTCTCAACAGATATGCCAGTGAGCAATATGAAACGGGCTTCTTCCTTAGAGAATATTGTCAATGTAGTGGAAGCCCCCTCAGATGTAAGTAATTGATGCTATTTTTCTTCTTCTTCTTGAGCATTCCAAGCCCTTGTGGTTCATTGCTGCAGATATCACCCGCCTCCATTAATCTCTCTGGTTGGCCATCTCTTTCCACTTGGTGACACCAAGTGTTACAGGTCTGGATATAATCTCTCCATTGTCTCCTTGGTCTGCCTCGTGCTCTATTCATCTCCCTCGTGTATACAGTTTTTACTTCTCTGTCATCTGACATTCTTTCAATATGCCTAAACCATTTCAGTCTATTAGCTCTCATGATGCCAGTGATCAGTGGTGATTTAAACAGATTATGAATTTTGTTGTTGCTTCTCACTCTCCATTCACCGCTTTTTGCATCTTTGTTGGGTTCAAAGATTCGTCATAAGACTCTGTTTTCAAAAATCTGTAATAAGGCTTCATCTCTTTCAGTTGTGCTCCACGTTTCAGAGCCATATAAAACGACTGGTCTTATCAACGTTTTATATATTTTGATCTTGGCCTCCCAAGCCAGATAGGTCGAAGGGTAGAGAACAGACAAAGAAAAACACCCTGGTCCTCCAGGTTGTGGGTTGAAGCGTGCGGCCGACACCCCCACCTTCATAAAACTTTATCTCATCACGAAACAGATAACTATCTAAGCCTCGATTTCGGATGGATTTAAATGGACAACAAACCTGGAACATTAAAGGACTTTTGAAATTTGGAACATGGAATGTATGAACCCTTTATAGAGCTGGAGCAGCTGAAGAACTGACCCATGAGTTATCAAAATACAAAATGGATGTAACAGCAATTCAAGAAATTGATGCTTTAAAAATGAAATATAACTGCCATGTGCTCATTGCTCACATGTTTGCGGTTATTACTTTCAGTTGTATTTTAGGTGACTTATTTTCTTTTATTGTTTTAAAAATTTTATACTTTTTAAAGTTGCGTGTATGTAAACTTGATCGCAACTCCTCCTGGTGTGTAGATTCTAATGCTCATGTCAACCCTTTAAAGGCCTCAGTAACGTAGTTCTCCTTGAACACACATATAGTGAAGGCAGACTTACCAGCAGGGGAAAGCAGCGCCAAAATTTTGACGAGACCAAAGCTGATGACAGACCTCGAAGTGAGGTTTGATCGCAGCCTGTCCTTCAAAGAATATGATGACTACCATGTTATAACAAAAGCACGCAAAGGCCTGTCAGCAATGAGGGTCATGGCTGCCGCTAATACTGAGCAGAGACTGCTTCTGCTTCTGTTTCAAGGACTTGTACTTTCTCCCATCGAATATGCTGTATCCATCCTGTCAGCCATACTTGAAAGACTTGAGAAGGTGCAAAACTAAGCAATGCATATTATTCTGGGGTGCACTAGAGACGCTGCTTGTGTAGCAGTGAGGTACCTTCTTGACTTCCCTGCCATGTATTACAGGATCAAGATATGGAGGGCTCGTACATACCTCAAGATAAGCTCACATCTGAAGCACCCTTTGCACAACATGCTCTTCAGGAAAAAGGGCAATAGACTTAGAAGGCGCAAATCATGGCTGGCTGGGTAGAGCAGATGATGACATCATGCAGGTCTGCAGCTTTACAGATGTCCATCCAGGCGAGGAATGGATACCAGCGTCTAAAGCGCCCAATCTCACATTCTCCTGTGTCGTAAGGCTTGATAGGAATTGTCGGGAGCAGAATCCAGCTCCTGTCAACGTCGAAATGTGTGCATTTATCAGTTACAAGTCAAATGAGACATATGTGCTGATCTTCAGAGTGCTAGCTATGTAACCACCCCTACAAAACTGTTGACCATCATCTCTTTGAGTGCCCAAAACTCAACCAGACTAGAAGAGTGCTACTCCCTCCGAGTCCAGACAGGTGGAATACTTTGTATGGAGGAAAAGAACAGCTTGTGAAAACGTAAATTCCATTACATGGCATTAGGCCAAAGGGCGAAAGCTCATGCGCCACTGAATCGATAACAACAACAACAATAATCTTCACAGACGGGTCAATTATATGAGAACATAAGAGTGCATGGGCATTTACAGACAGCTCTTCAAACAGAACAGTTCAGGAAGCCAGCGGTGCCTTCTCCATGACTACCAGCAGCATGACGATGGGGGTGATGGCGGTGACACAAGCTTTCATGTTGCTAGAATGACAGGACTATTCCCACGTATGTATGCTGAGTGATTCTTTGAGCATGATACGGCGGGTCGAGGCAGGCTGGTTACGCAGACAGTGGATTGAGTCATTGCAAAACTCTTGTGTGTGTGAATTTACCTTCATATTTGTCCCAGGGAATGCAGGTCTTGTCAACCAGCATAGGACTGCCACTATTAATCGTGCAAAGCTGATGAATATGTTGACAGGGGAATCTGAGCACCTTTGAATGTGTCCGGAGTGCTGTGAAGATAATCTAACTCATTTTCTTTTCTTTTTTTGGTGTATTTGTTTGTTTTTAAATATAAGCTTTCCAGTTAAGCTTTTTCATTTTAACCCATAGCTCTAAGTATTATTTAAGTGTACTGCTTTTTTAAAATGACATTTCTTGAAGCAACAATCATAATTTATTAACCATTAGTGTTTATGTACTATAAATTATTATTTTTATTGTTATTATCTTGGTGATGATAAAACACAAACCAAAACTTTTACAGCATACCCATGATTTGTCACCAATGTGGAAATCGAACCGATTTGGGCGGGCAAGAGGCTGCAATGAAAGTTTTCGGGCAGCAGTTGACAGATCTTATGATGCTTTGGATCCAGCCTTAATGGACACTCGTAAGTATCACATGAGTTATAACTTTAAAGGCATCTAGTTCTGTTTCTTTAGCATATTGATCCAGTTGTGACTTTTATGATTTTTTTATCTGTATTCGAAGGGTCTTTGATTGTTCCATTATATTTTTTAGACAATGCTGGCTTATGCTGACATACAAAGAACATAAATATGTGTTACTGTTCCATTGTGTCTGTCGGAACCAGCATTGTCTTTGTATATGTTTTATTGTCAGTGAAACATAATTTTAACTTGCCAACTCAGTCCATCTAGTTTTTCATAACCCTAAAATACTAATTCTATAATGTTTCATTTCCTTTGCTACTTCCATTGTTCTTCCTATATCATAGAGAGTTCAAACATTCCAGGTGCCAATTCTGGAGGTTTTCTTAGCTGAGAGGAGGTGCGTCAACGATCCGGACACCATACCACTTTCTCCACACCGTGTCATACTTCTTCTATTTGAAGAGCCTCCCCTCATCTTGGTTGGCTGGATTTAACTTGCTTCTCTTTTTGACTTATCCATGGTTGGTTGGTTTTTGTGGCTATGGTTTTTACAGGATGGGGTAGCCAACCTCAAGCCCAACCCTACCCTTAGTCGCCTCTTACGATATGCCTGGTAGGGTGCAGTGTCACTATTCTTTGCTTCCCGTGAGGGCCCTGGTGACAGACGGGCAAATTAATGCTGTAGGATGGAGTAAATACAGGCATTAAACACATAATTTTTATAAGCTTTTATTAGGCTCACTTTTGTGTGTTTCTGGTCAGAACTGTACGTTAGACATGTACACTATTTCCAGATAAGCTGCTGACCTAACATTTTCAACACACATATTTTGTGAATGACAATACAGTGTGGTGCACCAAATTATTCACAGCCTTAGTTCACCCTTCCTCCAGTTTCCTTTTCCCTGCCTTACACATTTTCTAGGCAAAGGAGATGCTTCAAGGGGCTCAACCTAAGTTTGAGAGAAAATTAATGATAATAGTAATGGTAATAAAACTGATACTGTACTGAATGGCAAATAAGTATAATAATACATTTGAAATAATATGAAATGTATAAACATATGTATTTCTATATATGGCTTGAATTGTCAAAAGTATAAGACATCTGTATATATTAAATTCATTTATGCAACATATACTATGTAATTATGTGTATATTACAATTAAGAATGCTGCACACTCTTTTTTTGATCAGCATATATGATGATTGCATGGGAATCACAAGTTCCTGCTCCTGCTTCTTATCATTGATCATGAGATAATCATTTTGTGTCTTGTTTCTCTAGTGGAAGAAGAAAGTGCTGAAAGTGGAGCCTTTACTTTTGATCCATCACACTCCAGCCATTCATCTGTCAGTAGTGAGGCAACTAACGAGGACATGAACAGTCTCAAGAGAATAAAAGCTAAAGAAAAGGAGAAAAAAGGATTGTTCAAAGGCTTTTTGAGGTGAACACAATGACTAAAGCGATTTAGGAAAACCTTGTATATTATGCCTGTCATCTAATACGAGGTGTGTTCATTACATGTTACAGTATTTATAGTTCTTAAAGTAATATGTGATGTTGAAAGCCTAACCCTATTGTTCTGAGAAGCAGCAAAACCAACACTTCCATTTGGATCTGATTCCCCATAACTAACTTTTCCAGCCTTTCTAGAATGACGTGACACATAGTTGATGCTGTTGGCTGAGTTCGTGCCTGTGCAGTGTCTAGGGGCTCAGGATAAGAATATATTAACTAAAAACTGCATTTAGAGTGTTGTGTGTGTAACTAAATGGCTTTTTCAAAACTTAGTAGACATAAATCTCCTGTAGCCTCAGTGATATAGCTTGTGGAGTCACAGCATGAATCACTGATATAAATAAATATATATATATATATATATGTTTTACATACCAGGAAAGGTATTTCATGTAGTGCTTCATTCTGTCCATTTTTATTTATTACTTTCTTTATAAATTCCTAAACAGTTATTTACATAAATTCTTCTGATACTCATTTATGCTGCACTTCACATAATTGTGCATGTTGAACATGATCATGTCATAAAGTCATGTGATAAGCACATTAATTAAAGACCACATGCTTATCACCTCTTGTTGCATAGAATTCTCCTTCAGACCATTTAGAAAAAAGGATGATTGCCCAAAATCTATTCAAAGAGGTAGTGATTGAGTTTCTTTTATTTGAAGGATGTCAACCAGTAAACAGCCATAAAAAATTCAGGCAGCTTACGGTGAAGAAATGTATGTCGAAGTCAGCAATGACAGACTGGGCATAAATGTTTCAAAATTAGTTCATGAAAGATCTTCCACAATCATATATTGTTGAAACAGGAAAAAAAACATCGCCGAAATTGATGCAGCAGTACAGGTGAACCGGTGTTGAAGCATATATTTGATAGTGAAAGAATTTGATGTGCCACTTAGGACAGTTCAAAAGGTTGTTCAAAAGATAATGTGTTAAGGAAAAATACAGCTGTCATTTTGTTGCATGATAATTCATGTTGACAAGATTTTGCATGAAGTGTTAGCTCATTTCTTTTAGTGATCCTGAGGGACCTGGTTAAGGATGAAATATTTATGAGCTTTCTGGCTGTTAACATTGTCTGGTTTGTATGTGATCTTTGCAATCTGGCATGGGTGGGTATGTTTCTCTACATCTTGCAGTCTCCAACACAGTGTAAATTCTTGCGCTGGTATTTCTTCACATCAGGATGTTATTGGTACCATGGGAACTGTACGCCTGCTACTGAAGATGGGGTTGGAGAGGCTTTATAAATGTTCAGAGTGCTGTGATGTTGATTCTTAATTCAACATTCAATCATGATGAAAGCTTTCAAGAATTTCTTGCTGTCTTTTACTACATGTTTTCTTTTCCTGCTTGCCTTTCCAGATTTTGCATTCCCCAGTTTTTCTGGCATATTATGGCTGTTGTGATTATCTAATGTTTGTTTTGTTGGTGATAAATTACCTTTGTGTCTAGGCATGTAGAACACTCCTTTTAACCACATTCTTCTTTAATTCTACATTTGTGTGACTTCAGACAGTATTTACTTATTATCTAGGATTTACAGAAATTTGTTAAAATTTGTTCTATGTAATAACATAACATAACCCTTGACCCATTAGGGTCATGGAGCTGTATTAATGGAAGCACTAACACATAAAACCCGCCATCTTTCTCTCTCTTCTGCTTGATGAATGAGTGTATGATAACTTAGTCCTGCCAATTTCTTAATGTTATCATTCCAGGTTCTTCTTTGCCCTCCTCTTCTTCGACTACCCCCCAATTTTCCTTCTTTGCAATCGAATCATGTCTCACCACATTCCCAAACCAAGCTAGCTTGCAATGTAATATGCTATATAATAAGCTAAGGAGAAAGAAAACATATATGAAACACATAATCACCTGATTAGACACCACACACAGACAACAATATCAACAGTCCTTGTGAATGTAGCAGAGTTTAGAACCGTCATAGAATGATTTTTAATTATTGAGTGTTTGAATAATTTAACTGTGCCTGTTTCTATGCCTGTTGTTTCTTTGATGAGTTTGCTAGCCCAGGGCACAACCTCATTTTTTGTAGAGCTACCAAATTTTTCTGTTTTTGCGACGGTGTGTTTTCCCTATTTATTAAAGTTTAACATTGGGGGTCATCTTGTAACGGAATGTTTTTCAAATAATTATTTCCTAATAGTGGGCTTAAAAAAAGTGGTCGCCTTATACATGGGAGTGTCTTATACTCAGAAAAGTATGGTAATTAGACTAGTCCTTTTTTTTTTTAAAGTACATGTAAAAGAACCCTTGGTTTTTTTATGAGTTGGGTACATAGAGCTAGTCCTGTGTTTTAAAGAACAGTCAAATGGGTATTATTGTCAGTATCCCACTAGCCATGTAACTTTCCTGATCAATTCTTGGTACCCATTGCATGCTCAGCAATCATGGGAGCCTAAGCTGTACTGAAATATCTCCATTTCAATGTGGATTCAAACATAATTACAAGCCAGGTTGGTAGGCAAGTGTGCTAGCCACAACATTTACGTGGCTCCTTATTTTATTCAGTCTGTATTCAGTATATTGAAAACCTGAGTTTGGTGCTCATAATTTTTTTTTACATGCACAATAGGGAGTCGCCGTGGCGGATCGGAAGGTCGTGGGTTCGCTCTCTGGCGGAGCCGGACTTTTCTTTAAAAAATGACCTTGGCTCCCAGGTCGACTCAGCCTTGAGTGGGTACCGGGTGCAGTCCCAGGAAGTAAAGGCGGCCAGCGTGATGCTGACCACATCACCCATCTGGTGCCAATTGGTCTATAAAACTATAGGTCTAGCCATGTATGCCCTATACGCCTAAAGGCGTTTAAAAGGGTCCTTTACTTTACTTACTTACATGCACAATTAAAGGTTGAGGCGGCTACCCAATGTTGTGTGTTTATTGTTGAAATTTAAATTTGTTTTCTTTGATGTGGGAGTTTTAAATGAGACAAGTGAATCAAATCTGAACTCTGTTGCATGATCAGGCTGTAGTTAAATGTTATGAACTGGCATTTCTTTGTTATTTTTGAAAGGTTCTGTATTTGTTTCCATAGATTTGGAAAAGGGAGAAAATCAGATGAAGAAGCCATGCGTCGCTCCAGATCTGAAGAAAGGCCAGAGGATCGAGTGGTGGACAGAAGAACTGATTATTCTTCAGAGCGTCCTGTTAAAGACTGGTGGGCAGCCCAGCCTTATGGAGATACTCAAAAGAAATGGATGGTAGCTGCAGATGAACAGAATCAGCAGCAGCGAGGGAGGAAATCTAGTCAACAAGAACAAGAAAGGTTAGAGTCAAATAAACAAAATGTTTAATCTTATCTAAGAAAAAGAGATATGTTGAGGTTGAAATATACTAAACTTGAAAGAATGTTTCCACTTATGTGAGATATAGATATGTTTGGTCAAGATTGAAATAAGGTTTTATCTTATCTGAAATGTAGATATGTTTGGTCAGGGCTGAAATACTGAACATGAAAGAATGTTTCATCTTAAGTGAGATGTAGATATGTTTGGTGAGGGTTGACATACTAAACATGAAAGAGTTTCATCTTATGTGAGATGTAGAAATGTTTGGTAAGGGCTGAAATACTAAACATGAAAGAATATTTAATCTTATGTGAGATGCAGATATGTTTGGTCAAGATTGAAATGCTGAACTTAAAATTAAAAGACTGTTTACTTCCATCTGAAAAGTATGCTGGGACAAGAAAACATTAGGAATAATGTAAAATTTTCCTGTTGATGACATGAATGATAAAATCTAAATATAGTGCTAAAGTGTTACCTTTATTGTGGATAAGAAATAATGTAGAAAATACAAATGTTTAAGCATTTACCAAACAACCACTGGTGTGACACTAATGTAACTATTTTACAGCACTGTAATATTTAAATATGAACCCCCAAAAATGACAAATGAGGGCATCAGTATTTTAATAACATTTTTTTGGGTCAAGCTGTACAACACTTGATGTTTTTCCTATTGTTTATAAATCAAAGAAAAAATTAAACAAAAAAATATAACATGAACAGAAATAAGAGCCGTGACATTGGAAAATACCTGTGAGATGACCAATTTTTGATTTAAAATCAGTTTTTGATGAGAGGCATCTATAATTATCCTATTACCATTTGCAGAATTGAGGAAGAGTATGCGAGGCTTAGAGACTATCATGTAGGTATTCAGCGACTGAGGTCTCAATCAGTGGATCCATCTTCGGGAAGAAATGCAGCTGTTGTAGTCTCTCATGAGAGATCCAGCCCTTTCCAACCATATCCAGGATCTTCTGCACAATGGCAGCATCAGCTTGCCCAGCAACAAATGGATAGATCAGATCCACGAAGTTATCATCCTGCGGCAATGACACGTGCGTCCCAGGTCACAAATCATGACTATGCTGGTGAGAAATCATTTCACATTTATGTTTTTCATGGGATTTGTCTTTCTGAGTTTATTAAATATCCTTTGCAACCAAGTATAACTCGTAACTTGTAACTGATGTTTGAAAGTTGGAGATTTGATCAAATGAAACTCATTTCAGGTAATCAAGCAATCGCAGTTCCAGCATCATAGCAAATGGGTGGTCCCTGTAGTTAATCAATTCCTGTGCCCGTAAAAACCACACAGAATGTCCGTAACTGTCCCTTATGAGAACATTGATACAGACTGCAGTCTCAGTAAAGTCAATAGCATACACACACATTCAATGCAAAAGTCAGTGCCAAAACTGACAGTCAAAAACTAGAAATGCAGTTTGTCTCCGATGGAAGCACAAGTTTAACAGATCAGTAGTTGTACACATAATTAATCACTTAAGACAGTGTTTTGTGTTTTTCAAACTTTTCTTGGTCGCGGCGCTTTTTTTTCAATTAAAATGTTTCCATGGCGCCCTAACCTAAGTAAAAGTATGACTTTTTGTATCTTGGTTAAATTAATTATTAAGCTTTTACAATATTTTGCTGCGCCACTGTAAAAAGGTGATTCATATCTCTGCCTTGATGCACAAAGCACCTGAATAGAGGAAGATTGGATTTTTCATTTAGGTAGGAACAGGAATATCTACATGTAGGGCATGTTGCAAATTGAAACAGTTGAAATTACTGTTGACTCCTCTTGCATGCCTCATGGACTCTGGACAGTTTATTTCATAGTTTTTCCCGCTAAAACCTTGGACTCACATTGACTTTTAGTTGGCATTAGCACAGTTCATATCAAAAAGTTATATCTTCATTTTCTCAGCAAATCTGTTCACTTGTGTTGTAAGAAAATATGTTAAGATTTCATGCAATAGATCTTTTGCAGAATGGCGCTCTTCCCATGCACCATAGAATTTCAAGCATGCTGCAAGATTTTAGTTAAGCTGACCTCTTATGCTTTATATTTGAAATCTAAATGAGAACATGAATGGCTAAAATATCCCCAACAAAGTACACAAATTATTGACAACTAGAGAGAAACATCAGTGAAAATGAAAATTGTCAAATGTTATGTGTACTCAGCTTCATTGTATGGTACAGTGAACAAACAGCTACAAATTGAATCAAGTCTGTAGAGCTGTAGATATACAAAAGCATAGGCCATATTTATCTTATGTATATATATATATATACATAAGGCTTATATATATGGAGATAAAAACAGTCAGATACAAAGGTTCTGAAAAGATTGTGAATAAAAAAAGAGTTGCTCATAGAAATAAAAATTACATGGCACTCTTTTAGCCTTTTCAGCTTAATGACCTAGAAAAATTAATTTTTGAGATCCCATAATTCTCTTATTACAAGAATTCCTTTAAAAACCCAACTATTTTACACATGTACAGTGAACTCAAGTTGGAAAACCATCAAGGAGATGTAACAAGGGCATTAGCATGGCTGCATACTCAAAAGTTCACAAACACGTGCATACTGAGTGTCTCAGTGAATGTAAAGAAAATCAAAACTGGATTCATCAGACAAGAATAGGTTGTATCACTAAAAACTTTATTAAAAAAGGATGGCCTAATTCTAATCTGTGTGCCAGGTGTTCGAGGCAACAAGTATGCAGATTATCTTGCAGATTTTGCAATTGCTGTGGCTGGTCAGGTACTGGGCAGAAGCCATGATATCAGTGCCATGCCATGCAGTATTTACTGTGAGGGCAAATATGACAAAGGGCATGACTGTGTATCCTTGTCCTGGCTCATGGTCCTAGGGTGCAACCTGGAGCAGTCAAAAATTAGAATTTCACAAAGGGCACAAGACATTTGATTAATCAACACAGAAAAGGCGTCATCAGTCATTTTATGCTTAAGGAGCTGTTGTGGAGGAGGTCACAGCATCTTTGGATCTGTCTGGAGTGCTGGGATGACAGTTCTGACTATTCAGTAATCACACACACAAATGGCAACAACAGAATCAATTTATGGACTAAAACCAATAGTTACCATACAGATGAAGGGGAGCAATCTGACCAAACAAAAATGCAGAGCAGAGAATTAACTCGCTTACATCTCTTTGAGCCTTAAAAATAAATTCCCTATGACTGAAGGGAGAAATATGACATCAGAATTTGTGCAAGGATAATAGAAATGTTAAGAAAACTTGATATTTATAACACTGTATATATTATAATGATAGTGAAGGTGTCACATTTGTTAGTAAATGTTGATATTCACATTGAAGCTGAATCAGCTTGGTTTCTGTTAACTGGAGTAGAAGTCAACTGGTCCAAACTCAATCCATCTTTTATTGTGTGCCTCTGTAGAAATGTGATGCCTTTCAGAGATTTAAATATCCTGGCAAGAATAAAAACAATGAAACTGAAAATATTTGTTCAAGACATTCATGTTCCAACTTTTACAGGGAAGAACCAGTCTTACTCCAACTCTGGGGGGGAGCTTGATGGAAAGGGCAGCATATCCAAAACTGCTATGTCCCGAGCTGAGTACATCCAGCAGCTGCGGTCCCAGTACCAGCAGCGTCACCGGCAGCGCCAGGGAGTCTATCCACTAGATGACAGGGAGGAGCAGTATGAGGTACAGCTGCAAGATAGGGAAACTAGGGTAACATTCTATTTTAGACATCATGTATTGTGAGGACCCTTTTCCACCCTTTCAGGCAATGTTGTTCATATTGTTAGTTAGTTGCATATCCTTTACAGGATGTTGCAAAACCAGCCGCAGAAGTTTTTGGCTGTTGTGGTTTTTCTAGGAAAATGTTACATTCAGCAATTTTCTGTTGCTTCTGAACAGTCAGCTCTCTGTACTACTGTCAAAACCAATGCAAGTGGTCTGCTTCCATATCACCTGCACCTGGGATCGAACCAAGCGCGTTTGAAACACCTAAGCCAATGAAGCCAACTGGACATATAGTGTTAGTCCTTTATTTTATAGACCAGTCGGCGCTCAATGGGTGATGTGGTCATTATCACACCAGCTGCCTTTACTTCCCAGGACGTAACCTGGTAAGCATTTAAGGCTGATAGCCACTGTCGTTTTTGAAAGAAAGATCCGACTTGGGATTTGAACTCAGGAACTTTGCCAGATCCACAGGAGACTACCTGTGTTGGTTTCGGGGCCCTATTGTGGTGAAAACAAAAATAGACCCTCTGCCTGCCCAGCAAGCATATTGTAAGAGTCGACTAATTAGGGGCTTCCTTGAAAGTCAGAGTGCATCTGCTTGAGAGGTGAGGAACCAACAGTCTGCATACAAATAAGCTGGATATGCACACAATAGACTGAAATTCAGAGTTTGATGAACAGTCAAAACTTTCCACCAAAGTTAGCAACTGGTGAACACAGAGATATTTTGCACATGTAGATTTTAAAAAATAGATTATTTAGGCTTGTTGTTGACTGGATGGATTTTGCAGCTATCTGTATGATCACATAGCCAGTCTCATCTGTATGATGAAGTGGCTGAGTGTTCTTCAGGCATGCTGTCCGCCTCAAGTGCTGGAGGTCCTAAGTTCTGGCCTTGGTAAAGGCTTAGATTTTTTCATGTGGATTTCTAGTAATTGTGGGTAGTATATTGTTGTGCAAGTAAAAATTCCCTTGGCAGTTGGAAATAGAAAAGCGTAGCCTAACAGCGCTGCCCAATCAAAATTTGGAGTAAAAAATTACCCAAAGTATTTCAGAATCCTCGCCAGTGCTATGGAGTTTGTGCATAGCCCTGAGATTTTTCTTACTCAGGCTTGAGTTAGTAGAACGGAGCACTTATGGGTTATTGCCCTTGTGCCATGATGTTGATCCGTTGTATAAACCAAACAATTCATCTGTATGATTACATAGTCTCACACAGTCGTTCTTATTTGCATTGTGTGACATGCCGTGAGTGTTACTGTTCCCTACTTATCTTATGGTTCTTGATGACACACAAGTCAGACATTGACAATCCTGATGGAATGAAACCGCAGATACACTTGCTAAGAAAAGAGCAGAATGCAAACATGGAGGCAATGCAGGACATACTTTGAGAAGTAGCACAAAAAAAGGAGCCATCCAGTCTGTTAGAAGAGAATAGAATCTGACCAGAGACCGCTACTGCTTACTTGACCAGCATGGACAGGTCATCATTCTACGCCTCAGGACAGGATCTAACAGACTCAACAAACATATGCATGGGCTTCTTCTGAGTAGTTCATCACTTGTGCCCTTGTGGGCTGTGTAGGCTAACTTCAAAACATGTCCAGAGGAATGCCCCTTTTACAGCCCATTAAGAAGGTAATACTAAGAACTTGTCTGTCGGTGTAATCACTAGAAGGAGAAGAAGTCATGATTTTCTACTCCTCTTTGGTATGGTATTTGGATGAATCTAGTGTTGCATCTGTTATAGTTTGTTACTGAGCTGTTAACGTTTTCCAAATCAGTGACTTCCTTCGTCTTACCTAGTATTTTCTCCACATGAGGCAGATTTCTTTTTAACATCTCTTCTGGTGTTATGCTTTTAAATTGCATCTGTCTGTTTCTTATTAGTCTTTGTATGTATTATCTTTTTTGTTAGTAGCTCAGTCTAATATCTTGAATGAAAATTATTACATAATTATGCTGATTGCAATCAGTGTTGTAACATATTCTTTACTGTTTCTAACATATTCTTTACTGTTTCTAACAAACATATTCTTTACTGTTTCTAACATATTCTTTACTGTTTCTAACATATTCTTTACTGTTTCTAACAAACATATTCTTTACTGTTTCAGATGTGGAATCACATTTCTTCTCAGTATGAACCCCACATCAGGGATCCAGAAATTTCTCGGTTTTATGACAGGTATTGTCCTTATATGTACGGTCATCATGCTTGTAACAGTGGGCTATGCACGGGGTCATCGTACTTATAACATTAAGGTATACATGTGGTCATCATTCTTGTAACACTGGGGCATGCCTGTGATCGTCAAACTTGTAACACTGGGCTGAGCAAGGGGTCATCATGCTTCTAATCCTGGGTTGCAAGGATTGCTTTGTAAATATATATATATTTGGGGGGGGGGGGGGGGGTAAATGATATCATGGACTCCTTAAATTGTTCTGCCGACCACCAGATGGAAAAGATTGTTGTGGACCCTTTGGCAGACAATAATTGCATTTAGTTTTCTGAACATTTTCTAGTATTTAATACTTCAAGTAGATCTCTTGCTCTTAGAGTTACAGCCATTTATCCCTACCCCCCATGAGTGGGTTATATGTTAATTTTGTTTATATTTTGACATTTCAGAAACTGAATGGTATTACTGCAGTAATGGTACCACTTTAACTCCTGATTACATTGTTGGTTACTGTTATTCTCATTTAGATATCTTTACATTTCCCTCAAAGTCAGAGTGCATCTACCTGATAGGTGAAGAACCAACAGTCTGCATTCAAATAAACCAGCTATGTAAAAAGGGTGATGCACTCAAAATTCCATGTTTTGGAACGAGACCAAAGCCTAGAAGTGGATGACCAACCAGAATTTGTTGCTAAAGTTCACCTCCAGTGAGCACTGAGAAGAAGATTTTTTACATTTCAGAAACTGAGAGGTGGTGATGGTATATATGTCTACAACCAGCCATTTTCATATTTATAGCATTGTGGTGCTGGGGTGACTGTGGATTACCTACCTCCCCGGGCAGCAGCCAGAAATGCCCTGTACCAGTTCTCAAGGAAATATGGGTTGTGTTTCTGCCTTCCCCTTTAACACTTAGCTAAGGTGGAGCTCACAGTGTGCTCATTCCCCGCCACCAGATTGCCTGCTGGTTTCGCTGAGCTCTTTATGGCTCTAAGCATGGTCTAAGCATGAGTAGTTTGGGCACCTGGATCGTCATGTACTGAGTCCCTGTGCCTTCACGATAGTTTCCGATATTCAGAGGGGGTTAGCATACTTGTTTCCATTTCTAAGACTGTTGAACACACCTACGGCTTCTTCCCTCCCACAGGGGGCAGTAAGGTGTGGTGAACCGGGTTTATTATTGAGGTTTGCTTCTCTAGATGCTTTGTGTTTTGCCTGGGGATTCGCACCCCCAGTTACCAGGACTACCATCATAATAGACACCTTGTAGAAAACTAGGAATACAAAGAATAAAGCACAAATTGGTTTTACACTGTGTTAATGAAATTCAGGACAGATACCACCTCCCAGAGAGATGTCAAGGCATTCAGAATGTTGCAAGAAACCTACCACCACATGCTCGCTTTAAAGCTCCAGAAGTCTGAATGAAATTGGTAGGCGAAGAAACCAAACAGTCCGACCCAATCGCTCTTATGAAATCATCGCTAAAGACCATTGATTCTTACCCCCAAGAATGGATACATATTTACACTGATGGATCTGCATTTAAAGCTACCATTAAAGCAGGTTACGGAATCTACATAGGTTATCCCGATGGATCTGTTGAAGAGCTTTTTGATGCATGTGGGGAATTCTGCTCAAATTATGAAACTGAAATAATTGCACTGGAAACAGCAGTATATGGTTCATTTGATTTTGATTGATAAGTCGGACCTGTGGTGTTTTTTTTGTTTTTTTGTTTTTGTTTATTTATAGGACATCTATTTGAAATGAACATTTCTTGTTTTGACACAAGTTAAAGATATTTAATTTCAAATGTGCAACTTTGCTTTCAGACCATCAAGTAGACAGTCAGATCAAAAACTACCAGAAAAATACGGAAGCTCTTTCATCCCGCTAAACACCAACAACAGCACCTCTTACTATCCTGGCAGCCACTCACTTCAGCATCAGAAACAACATCAGCATCGTTACGAGCCCGGCAACCAGTCACATCCAGGTAGCCGCCCTCAATCACGAACTGGTCCCGCAGCGACTGATGTCACTTTACCATATAACCAGACATTGTCGAGCAGTTACACCGATCAGATTCAGCAGCATCATAAGCAACATCATCACCCACAGCAAGTGCAGGAGTTTGCCAGCAAACACTTTCAGGACCAGTACAGCAGCAGTGACACAAACGTTCCTGTTGACTACCATGTTTATGAGCCTCAGCCTCAGCACTTCTACACCAACCCGGCTCAGATGTATCACTCCACACGCAGTCAATATAGTCACCACCGGGGAGGCAGTTATGCAGATTCTACTTCAACAAAAGTGTGAAGCTGCTCGCCCGCTTTTTTCTGCAGTGTTCGAATATGGACCACATGTTAGTCTAAGGGGTCCATTGATCAACTATAGTGTACAGCAAACCTCGAAAATTTAACAAATATGATATTGAAAATAGGAATGGATGCAGTCAGGTTGATGTCAGAAAGTAAGTAAACACAACACAAATTATGCCTCGGAAGCTCAACAGAGTGAAGGAAAAGATGCACACAACCATATATATATATATATATATATATATATATCTTCTACAGCAGTGTTTGTCGTCTTTACTTATGCAGCAAAATTTAATACAGTTCCTCATGTTGTGACCCCCAATCATAAAAATATATTGATTCCTGCTTCCTAATTACAGTGAATATGTGTTTTTAGATGGTCTTAGGGGACCCCTGTGAAAGGGGCATTCAACCCCCAGAGTGGTTGCCACCCACAGATTGAGAACTGCTGTTCTACAGTGTCTGCCATAAGTTTCCTTATATAGGAAATATAAACATATCACCAGCGCTATTGCAAGCATAACTCGATGGTCCTTGAATGTGTTCTTCAGCAATGGAGGACACACATCAAGATGTGTTTTCTAAACAACACTGTAGTCATGTAGAGAGTATTCTAAACATAAAAATGGGGTTTCATACAAAAATATTTATTTTTTCTGTGTGTGGAAACCACATTGTATATGAAAGCACATAGGGCTGGATTATTGCTTAGAGAAGGAGAGAGACTGTCAGACGTGCTGTGAAGAGAGCAGTGTTCTGTGAAGGACCTGCTGATTGATAATTATGACGGAAACTTATTGGAGTCTCTGAATTGTGTTGTGCGGCACTTTTCTTGACCCTCTATTGAGCTTGCCAGTGACATTTTGTGTCATGTTTACTTCTTGGACATTGCATTGGTTGTGAAAAACAAATGGGCATTTCTTGTAGCTGATTAAAATTGCTAACATTCATTCAGTATTTGACACTCATGAGATTTTCACTTAGTCTTCTTTACTTAGTCTCTGATAGTTAATTGTAATTAGTCACCAGCAGTCTTCTTTTATTAATGCATGTATTTGTACATTTGTAATTTAATTCTATGACACTTGTGAGCAGATAACTAAGATATATATCAGCTCATTTGTCCTTATATGACTTGTGATCTGGCTTGTTCAGCTTTTTCCCGCCTTGCTAAACAGAATTATAATCATGAATTCATATCCTTAGATCTAGGCTTTGCTATGAGCTTTCCCCACACTTTCACAGCATGGTGAAGTAGCATCATACTTCTAGAGAAATCACAGCACTCACGGCATCCTAGTAGGCACTCCATCTTATCAACAGCCAGCAGCATCACTCCCTACAGCAAGAGTTTGCCAGCACACACTTTCAGAACCAGTGCAACAACAATGACACAAACATTCCTGTTGACTAGACTGTGTACGAGCCTCAGCCTCAACAATTCTACACCAGCCCAGCTCAGATGTATTACTCCACACGCAGTCAATATAGTTACCACCAGTGACAATGGGGCAATTTGCATGCTGTTTATATGTTGGTCTTGCGTTTCCTCTGATCATTGTTTGTCCTTCCCTTTTTCATCATTCTTGCTAGACATGATCAGTTAACTGTTATTGTTATTGACATGCCCCTATAGGGCTTTTATCTCATTGCTTATAGGTAGCATACGCTTGTTTAAGCAAGATATATCCCTAAAATATGGATACAAATTCTTATGTGGAATTTCTAGTGTTATGCCCCTCCCCCTCTTTTCCCCAGTCCTGCTAACGCTGATGCATGATTTTTATAGTTATTCACCTCAGTAAGGAATGGATGGCCAAACTGTTAAAAGTGCAGGGCTCTCAAGCAGAGACCCGGGTTTGAATCCTCTGAAAGGTTGGAATTTTTTTCTGCTGGGGGCAGAAATAAAATCCTAACTTGCACAGTCCGTGGCAATCTTCAGACTTAAAGATCCCCCTGCCTACCCTGCAGAAGTGTTTAAAATAGGCAGTAATTGTAGTTTTAATGGCATTCAACTCAGTCGTCAGTGATCTATTTTGATGAATCCCCTGATCTTAAAATGTTATGTTCATTATTTTCTCTCTTTTCATACAAGAAGATTTGATCTACTCAGTACTTAATAGGTAGTACTAGAGAGTTTGTTTCAGTTATTGTGGAATTCTCACAGAAATTCAAGCTTAAAGGTAGCCGCCTATCACAGGCATCTTTGTTTACTCTGTTTAATTATCCAGTTATAGGAAACTTATGGGCGGTTACTGTGTTTCATGCCTTTTGTCATTAGTACAATTTGTGGTTTCCAGTAGCCCTTTACTGTGACTAGAGACATAATGCAGAAATATTAGGATCTCGGGGTTAAAGGGTTTAGGATTGAAAAGTGTTTCTCTGGATTGTTGAGTGCATCTGCTTTGTGAATTTACTGAGTTATTTTTGTGTGGTTTTCTCATACAGCTATACACATGTTTTGACAGGTAGATCTTACATTCAGCTGTGTATTAGCTGTTTCAGATGCTGAGAACAGTGACACAAAAGTATAGAGATGTAGCACGTTAGCTGTTTCAGATGTTGAGAGCAATGGTACAAAAGTATAGAGATGTAGCATATCGGCTGTTTCGGATGCTGAGAACAGTGACACAAAGGTATAGAGATGTAGCACATTAGCTGTTTCAGATGCTGAGAGCAATGACACAAAGGTATATAGATGTAGCATATCAGCTGTTTCAGATGCTGCGAGCAATGACACAAAGGTATATAGATGTAGCATATCAGCTGTTTCAGATGCTGTGAACAATGACACAAAGGTATATAGATGTAGCATATCAGCTGTTTCAGATGCTGTGAACAATGACACAAAGGTATATAGATGTAGCATATCAGCTGTTTCAGATGCTGCGAGCAATGACACAAAGGTATATAGATGTAGCATATCAGCTGTTTCAGATGCTGCGAGCAATGACACAAAGGTATATAGATGTAGCATATCAGCTGTTTCAGATGCTGCGAGCAATGACACAAAGGTATAGAGATGTAGCACATTAGCTGTTTCGGATGCTGAGAGCAATGACACACAAGTGTAGAGATGTATCATATTAGCTGTTTCAGATGCTGAGTACAAAAACACAGAAATATACAGATGTAGCACATTAGCTGTTTCAGATGCTGAGAACAGCCACATAATTAGACAGCAGCTCTCAGCAACAACCAGCAGTACTTGTCCCCAAGAAGTCATAAACTCTACAATGAAATTGCATTTAAAGATTTGTCATATCATGTAGGGGAAAAAGATTAAAAATGAGAGTTATCAGTTTAATTGTAACATACAATAAAGGTTAATTAAATATTTTCAAAAATAATTTATGTATTGTACAGTTACAGTAAAGAATGAGAACTATCTACTGAAATAATAACAGTTGTGGTTTGTTTGTTACATCTTTTTAACTGTCTTTTTTTTTTTAACAAATCAGTTGTGGTTTCTTTTATATTTGCTTGTTCCAGCATTCAGATCTTCCATTCAGTTCTGCTTCCATTTATTCTTGTTCTGAATTTTGAATTAGGTGTTGTTATTGTTTTACTCAGAATTGTTATGTGTTGTGTAAATGTTCTGTTTATATTTATTTTCTTTCTTCCTTTCATACAATTTTTAGTGGTTGTGTTGAGTAGGCTGAGATAACAGTTATGTGATGAAACATAATCATCAGTTTGCAAATCATTAGCCTCATCACTTTGCATGCTATTTAAGTTCATGTTTGTAAATGATAAATGCATTTATTTGTTTAGTCTCAAAGTAGGAAATGATTTTATGTCTCTTCTATATTTACATATTTTTAACTATCAACCTCAGTGGATGCAGTCAGTGTTCCCTGAAATCTGGAGTGTTGTGGGCAGGCTTTTTGCCTTGTGAGCTAAAAGGCTATTAAAGTTGTGAGCTAAAATTTCACTCTATCGCCTGCTTGCATTAAAGCTGTCAGCTTATATTCTACCTATATCAGATACTTGCAGGAAGTCAAAGAGGAATAAGAAACCTACACAGGACTGGTGTCCTCAGCCGCTACATGCTGCAGGATTAACTGAGGAGGGGATCAGAGCACTTAAGGATTCAATAGTTTGAAATGCAGTGAGGATTATCTGTCAACTAACTAACTTGCAGTAAAGTCTAAATTAACATTCAGCTACTAGCATATTAAAGTTGTAGGCTTTCTTCTTTTTCAGCTCCTAGCATTAAAGTGGTAAAATAAAATTCTGCATCATCAGCATTAAAGTTGTGAGCTAAAACTTCTACATCATCAGCAACTAGAAGTAAAATTGTGAACCAGCTTTTCTTCTTCATGAGCTACTTGCAGTAAAGTTACAAGATACAATTTTACTTTATATCAGCTGCTAGCAGCTACTTCATCAGCTAATAGTATTAAAGTTGTAAGCCAACTTTCTACTTCAGCTACTTAACATTAAAGTTGTGAGCTTTTTACTTCATCATCTACTGGCATTAAAGCTGTGAGCTAAAAAATTTACTTCATCAGCTACTTGCATAAAATTGTGAGCGAATATTTTACCTCATCAACTTTCTAGCATTAAAGTTGTGAGCTAACATTCTGTTATATCAGCTACTAGCATGACAGTTGTGAGCTGTCATTCTACTTTATCAGCTGCTAGTATTACAGTTGTGAGCCAACTTTCTACTTTATCAGCTACCAGCATAAAGTTGTGAGCTGTAACATTTTACTTCATCAGCTACTAGTAGTAACGTTGTAAGCTAATATTCTGTTTCATGATCTACTAGAAGTAAAGTTGTAAGCTAATATTCTGTTTCATCAGCTGCTAGCATTAAAGATGTAAGCCAGCCTATATTTTATTATTTTGCAAACTGTGTTACTATCTATCTGTTTATTTGCTGAGCCAAACATTTGTGTGGGCTAAAGAAGTGTTTAGCTTAGAGTAAACATTCATATTTCATTCTTATTCTGAAATGTCCAACTTTCTTTTTACGAAATAATATTGTAAAAC